TCCAGCCGACAAGGATCCCAACGATGTCAATGCGGAGAAGGGCGAGTACCAGTGTGGCGATTACACGCGCCAGCCTGTGTTTGTCTGCCCTTGGTAGTTGCGCAGTACATGACTTTGTTCGGCATCTCTAGATTGTTCCGCACGCGCGATATTGGGAGGCGTTCTTGGGTCTTTTGTACGGTGGTTCGGTCGCTTTCGTTGTGTTTGGGCGTTGTTGTTAGTGTTTCGGTGGCTCAGGTGGCGCGAGATCGGGGTCTGTGCTCGACGCTAGATTCCGGCGGCGAAAGATGGATCTCAACACCATCATGTCGGCACCACCTCACCTATCTTGTAGAATTATATAGAACACGCGTTTTCTTACTACTTCTTCTTCCATGAAATTGGTGTTCTTGCACTTTCTATATGACCATGCAGTCAGCTTACAAGGCTGAAAACGCCACGACGCGTGATGCCTGCACAGCCCCGCATCACCTCAGCTGCCATAGACGATAACAAGATCTCGTCTGCCTAGAATGCATCCTCGCCTTGACACGAAACTCATCTCGATAAAGAAATTACCCAAATTCCAACAGCCAAAGACGATGCGCGATGTGCGAACGAGAGGCGACAATCATCGAAGAGCCTCACGAGGCATGCGTTGAGCCGCCAACGGAGCCCGCAACGTACGAACACCAGCCACTTAGTTGTTCCCTAGACGAAATACGCCTACTCAAGCTTCGCAAAGAGAAACACGGCCCCGTACACTGCGAAGTCGAAGCATTTCCGCTCGAGAAGGCCCCGAAATACATCGCGCTATCGTACCGATGGGGCCCACCGTCACCTCTTCACAATGTCTTCATCGGGGGTGAAACGCTCCAGATCCGAGACATTCTGCACGCATGCTTGTTGGAGTTGCGAGAAGATGTGGATACATGGCTATGGATCGATCAAATCTGCATTGCGCAGGCGGATACAGCGGAGCGAAACCACCAGGTCGGAATGATGTCGCGTATCTACAGCACCGGCGCCTCTGTCATCATTTGGCTAGGTGACGTGCCCTTAACGCTGCCTGGGGAAGTTGATCGCTTCAACGACCAGGATCTCGATGCTACGTCGATCACAGTGTTATTGAATAACATTTACTTCACAAGACTGTAGATAGTACAAGAGATACTGCTTGCGAAGACTGTCAACATTCGTCTCAACAGGAATCGCTGCATTGAATGGAGCAGAATGTATTATCCATACATAACGGCATACCCGAGTTTGGTAATCCCTATCGCATCCACGTATCTCCTAAACAGCACGATGTATGCCCAGGGGGAGGGCAAAACACTGACTTGGCCTAAATGCATTGATGGCTTCTCCGCAAACGCTTGTGAGGACCTTCGAGACAAGGTGTATGGTATGATGGGCGTTGTGAGCCAGGAAGACAAGTTCGCAGTGGACTATCAAAAGAGTGTGCTCGAGGTATATACGGACGTGCTTTGCGTTATATCGGACCCTAATATCCCAGACCTCTCGGTTTACCGCCGCATGTTGGGTTCCCAGATGGGTATCGAATTATCACTGATAGCCAGCTTTGAGCTTGCACTTCACCATCGATATGAACACAGCTTACAGGATCGGGTATCAGCTATACGGTTCAAGAAAGCAGACGATGTAGATAAATACGATCATTGGTGGTATGAGTGCGACGGTAAGAGACTCTACTTTTGTCCTTCACTTATGTAGATGCCCTCGCTCCCTGTTTACTTACCAGCACAATTCCTAGACAGATAATGCAATGTTCTCCATGTAGGTTCGCCGCATCGTGAAACACAAGACACCGACACTTACTCTAGTCCTGGAACAGGTTTACCTAGTAGTAGAAACTTTCGCGATGATACTTTCCGCCGAGCTATTGCGCATAGCCATAGTTCGGCTCGAGCAGATGGTGCAGCTTTGCTCCGCTGCCTGCTGACAACGCATCCATGCATGGCGGCGGGAAATCGGCATTCACGGACGAGCATCTACAAGCCGGTAACACGAGGAGGTCCCAGTATATGGCCTTTGCTCAGCTTCCTGTCAGTAAAGCCTGGAAGAGCTTTTGTGCATGTTGGCAGAGATCTCAGAGCGGTCAGTACAGCATCACAAATAACCATGCTCTCTCCTGGGGCAAGTCGAGTGCGCGCTCCATCACCATCATGACCAACTGAGCAGTGATAGGAAAAGGTAAAAAGCAAGCTTCTTCCTCAAGCGACTGGCAAGCCAGAAGTCTCAATGAAAAAGTGGTCGCGTCAGCCAGAGATAGTGCGATACTGGCGACACTGTGGTCCGGAGTATGAGCAAGCCCAGGGACCCAAGACCTGAGTACAAAAATAAGAATAATCTTGAAGTCACCGTAGTGACCTAGGAGGAGTTAGCGCGATGCCGAAAAGGGTAATGAGGGAGAGAATGCTTACGTTTCAGAGATTAAACTGAAAAGAACAGATACTACACTTGATCTGGGGGGGTGAGTCAGCAGGTGTCTCGAAGGTGTTTGTAGAAGGGGGACGTACCTAAGCCAAAAGGCAAAGAGAGCTAAGGAGCGAAGGAGGGGACGGGCTGCGCGAGGTTGATATGGGCGCTGCAGGCTTGGCGCGCTAGCGGTCACATGATCGCTTACTAGCGCTCCAAGCACGCTTTGGCCCTGTGAAGGTGGGTGACCATGGACCCTGCACCGACGTTTTGCCGGCCGGGCGCAGCGGCGATGACGGCGGTGCCTTGAGGCGAGCAAGACGAGTTTGTCCTGAACGCTCCCGCTCTGCGTATACTCCCCAAATGAGACGACTGCGACTGACACCTTCGCTCGCAACAAGAACTCGGACGGTGCTCACCTGAAGCCCATATCAACTGCAGACTCCTTCTCGCATCCGAAACGTTGCCGCAACATTCGAATACTCCGGCTTCAGATCCGCTGTCTTGATAGCTAACAAGATCGCTTTGGTCCCGGTGGATGTCCTTCTACGTGCGCTACCCACCACTGCTTCCGAGCTCTCCACGCCGCTCCAAGGGTTAGGAGCGCCCTCGCATTCCACCGAGAACAGAGGAACCTACAACGATCGTCCAGCTGGCATCTGCGAACACCATATAAACTACTGCGTGTGGCCGTTGCAAGTTCTAAACACCGTTCCTGATTGGTACACGTCTCTGCTTATGTGCATCATGCGGGAAGCTGAACGTGTCAATGGCCAAGCATTTTGCGCGCAAAGCCCCACGGCTGAGAGTTTGCGCAAATTTGCGCTTTCAGGTTGGGTTCTCGGACGACTCGGCACATATCTAGAGGTGATGTTCGTGTGGTGGATACGATTGTAGCCGTTTCATTGACTTCGGGGCCCAACACATACGCCACTCCGATATACCGTTATCATGGAAGACGCATCAAGTACAACCAACCACTGGCGATGCGCGCAATGCGTGGAAAGCGTACTCTACTCGTTCGCGAACGGGCACATCGAACACGTGCGCATGTGGAAATGCTGCCAATGCGGATTCGCTGAGAATCGTGCCTCCCTGTGGGATGCATGCTCCATGTGCGACTCTACCATTCTTTTGGAGAACTACGCTTGTCACTACCCCTCCCCAAAGTTGTTCGAGGTTGCGACAGAAGAGGCGATGAGTGATAATGCAGCCTACAACCCTTCAGACGTCATTAGTGTGGAAGCGCCAGGAATGGGCACTTTTCCAGGAATACATGCCTCGGATGATTTTATCTCTATGATTCAGCGGAACATGCCGTTATTGGGACCGGTCTTTGGTGGTCACCAGCAACTCCAAGACGTGTTGGTGCTTGATGGATTTGATGAAAAAAGCATGCTCACCTCCATTAATGACTTGGATTATACTGGCCTCGAGGCTGATGGAACGGACCAGATCCGAAGAAGCCACGCTAACCTCCCGACACCGTACGAAGTTAATGATCCAGTCACTGCATACTCCCACGGTAACCTCGGAGTTACAGCGACCACTTCAAGCGACGCGTCGTCCTCAACAACGTCGGCCCCAACGAAAACCCATTCAACACCATCCACACTCACCGCCATGACGCAATCAGATCTCGACAGCGGCTACGGCACCCAAGGCAACATATTCAAAGCAGATCAAGCATCACGCAAACGCGCAAACGAAGATGACGACCATATACCGCCCAGATCAGACACCACTAACAACAATACGAGCCCACCGCCCTGCAAAAAGACCCGACGCCGTCGTTGCGACCCCATCAATCCCGGTCTCGCATGCCCCTTCTACGTACGCAATCCAAGCCGCTGCGAACACAACTCTTGCGTCGCACCCGGCTTCCTCGACATCCACAGACTCAAACAACATCTCGAACGCGTGCACCTGTACTACATATGTGAACGATGCGGGGCTGCATTTCAGGCAAACGCAACAGGAAGACAAGACTTAGCCATGCATCAACGCAATACTCAGCCATGCCAGCTTGTGGAAAAGCCAAGCGCAGAAATCTCGAGTCTGAGCCATGCGACATTTGAAGTGATGCGGTCCAAGAGAGGTGCAGCGGGGAAGTCGAAAGAGGAGCGATGGCGTGAAATCTACCAGCTCATATTCATAGACGCCGACGAGAAGGAACTGAGAAGAGCTTGTGAGTTTTATGCCTCCCTATTATTGTATTGGCCTACTAACCGTGATTGGATGTCGGCACGAAAAGCCCAGTACCGGGATATCCAGATCGCGATGATAGGTTATCGCAATGCGAAGAGATGCACAACATCTCTCGACAACTGCTTCGCGTGTTACCCGAACGATTGGACGCATCCATCAAGAGCCGCTTGCACGATGACAGGCTAGCCGCGATATGGCGTGAATTTGCGGATGACCAATTACACGACTTGATAAAAACTCTCCTTGCCGACTTGTACTCCCCAGGCCACACGATATATCGAGATACAGCGTGTGACAAGACTGACGATCTGTCTTGGTTTGATTTAGTAGACTACAACAAGCTGTAACGAGCATCACACTTGGCCCGCTACGATTTAGTAATTCGACTCTGCCAATCTTCCGAACTTCCTCTCCCAAATCCCTTTGGCGAAGGTGTGAAGTCTATCAAGCCTACACTGCATCATCCACCGACATCCAGTTTTCTCGAGGTTGAAACTCAGTGGCGTACCAGCGTCGCACCCGTGATCAAAGACATCATTATAAAGGTCTTTACCCTCCCTGCTGAACGCAAGACGTAGCCTCTGCTGGAAGGCTGCGGCATAGAGGGTTTTGTAATCCTCATTGTGGTGGCAATGTGTCCCCAAAAGCCTCCTGAGTTCCACTTCGTATCGCTCCTTCTCACACGCAATAGCCTTTTCCCACGCATCTGGGTCCGATGTAGTAGTCCTGGTGATGACACCATGCTCAGCCTTGACCAAATTCGCGCGTATGCCTTCCTCCGCAATCTCGTAAAAAGATGGACCTGGATCCTGGTGCCGCCGTACATATCTCTCCTCAATGAACAGCGCATTCATCAACGCTTTCCAGTCGCATGTGACTCGGCAGCTGAAACGCCCGTCTTGCTCGAGTGCAGGAAACTTGAGGTCGAAAGCACGCGTTTCCGCACCACCGACGAAAGTATACCGTCCATCAGGCGCATCAAACCAGATGGCCTGTACAAGCTCTTCAAAGCCATAGCCAGCTGTCCACATAGCTACGTCACCGTACGCTTTGATCCATGTGGCATCGTGCTCCAACTTCCCACATGAGGCTGTATCTTGCCACAGGGTAGACCGTTCCTCCGGACGCGGCTGGCCTGGAAGCAGAAGGAGAGAAAGCGTTGAAGATTGTGGGTCAATGAAACGTTCGTCTGTGGTAGCGATGAGGTTTTTCTCTATCCGACCAAATTGAATGTGGGTCCACTCGATGTGAAGGATGGGAAGAAAGGTCGCTCGAAATGCGCGCTCGGCCTCTTTTCTCCAGGCTTGCGATACTTGACGGCATGTAACCCAGAGCACGAATGGGTCGTCGACGCTTTGGAGGACTTGGATGAACAACTCGTCTGGAAGGCGGGGTAGGCAGGTGCTGGCCATCTTGGACCTGGTTGTAATAGAAGAATGATATTGCTGCGAGTCGATTTCGAGTTTCCAGGGTGGACGTCGCGTGAGCTTTAACGCGCCAATCTCGTAAATGAGGATTGCTGCCTGTTAAGCGAAATGCAACCTTGGAAGGATGCGCTTCTTGCCTTGATTCGGTCTGTAGCGTCACGCATCATCAGCGCTAAATGAGAATGTAGTTAGGCTTCTACAAATCTTCGTAAATAGGCGGAAGATATTGCGAGCTTTATCGCCAAAGTCTACGACGGATGCGGCGTTTGGCAGTCCAGGCTGTCGTGGCGGAGTGGGCGTTGTAGATAGAATAAAGAATAGAAGAACTGCGCGTAGCGCGGTAACGTTTTAAGAAACTAGGCTAAGCACTATAGAGAGTGTGTGTACGACATAGTCGCTCTAATAGACTAGACTGAGCACTATCGCTCGTATACAGAGCATAAGAGCTTACGCTACAAATGGAACTACTCTTCTCGTGTTCTTCAAGGCCGGGTCTTGCAACTGGGGACTTTTTTCCAACCCGAGTAATTCCCTGATCGCATGAGTCTGATAGACCGTGCCGTTGCTCATAGAGTAGAAGATCGCATCGTCGTAAGAGGCAGTTAAATCACGCGTCGCAAGTACAGTGCGGCTACCATCTGCTAAGAGAAATTCGCGGCGGAGATGAGGAGGGAAGTAGTCGGCTGGGTCTGCCTTGTGTAGCCCCCATCCGTCGTCCTCGGTAGCGTTTGAGTCTGCAATCTGCGTCAATAATGATCAGGCTCAAATATAGATGTAGCATGCGCCTACCTCTGCTATGAAGGTTGTAATTTCCATTGCCCTGGTACACGTACTGGTACCCATCGTTTGCACCACCTCCATCAAGACAGTATGGACTGGGCACTGGTTAGCCAAATGAAACGAGGAGACTGGGGAGCACGAAATCTTACGTGTTGCCTGTACCGGGATTTCCGAACGTAAGATCGAAAGTGCAGGGTTCGTTGCCGCAGGTGGAACTGAAGAATCCACTCAAGCGACTACCCTCTGCCGTGTTCTCCCCCGACTCGGTGCACCGAAGAAGTGCTCCACTGCCGCCTTCGACAACGGACGCGTAAGGATATTCGTCACAAGTGTCCTCGTCAGGACCCGGCGTTGCCATCTTGCCATTGCGACATGGCGTAGGGGAGACACAACCAGCCGCCCTCCGACGTGCGGCAGACTGACCATCGGGCCCATTGTAGTTAAGGATCTGAGGACAGAAGTCAGCGCCCAAATATCCTCCTGAGCTAGGCGATCCTTCCATACCCTTGGCTTGTTAGCGACATATATCGCGTAGCAGTCGTTGTTGCAAGGCCCCGGATACTCGGAACAATCCAGGTTCAGCATATACTGCTGGCCGAGGGCAAATGGGACAAGAGCAATCAATGCGAGAGCGAGCATACTGGGTGGTCTCAATCGGGAAGACCAAAAGAAACTGTACAGACACAGCTGATGAAGAACGTGGAAAGAGGTGTCGTAGAATGAAGATCTCGGAAGAAAGTGGAAGGAAAGTTTAAAGCAAGCCAGGCCACTTCTTATACGTAGCAGTGACATGATGGGGTTCAAAGTCAATTATCAGGCGTCCCGAGCTAACAGAATTGGAACGTGTGTTGTCATATGTACATGTATCATGTGCTACTAACGCATTGCCGATCGAGAGTGATAAGGTGGAGGAGGAACGTATGTCACATTTTAGCATAGAGAATGTACAGTGGCGTACGTAAGATGAACCATGCAGGCTGAAGTAAGTGAGATGAAGGATGTGGGGTAAAGTATATTTGCTGATGTGCCATGCTTTACAGACTAGAAATCTTAGTTATGAGCAGGCTGTGAAGATACGTTGTACCGCTATCCACAAGCTTTGCAAACGTTGAACGCGTCCGCGGGTAGTTGGGAGAACGCTGGATAGTAGGTACAGTATAAACCGGGTTGTATAGTATGAACTCAACCGGTCAATACGATCTGCAAATGTTGCGAGGACTAGAACGAATAGACGCTTGCGATTCGATGCGCGGGCATGAGGGATGTTTTCCAAGCGCTTACGTGCAACCACGCCTGATTGGACCCGATTACGCCCAGTTTCGCCCAGTTTCGCCCGTTTTCGCTCATTTTCGCTCAAAGTCGCTAGCTTGGTGGTGCAGGAAGCCAGATGAGGGAGAAAAGGATCGGCGCGGGAGGGGCGGGGTACCTAAGCAGGCGGCCGTGATAGCCGGAAGCTAGCGGGGAGTTACCGTAGCGTGCCCCGCACGCGGAATGATCCTTCATCAGGAAACATTAGAAACCTAAGAGGGGAATTACGTCACATTGCTAAAATCCCACATGCTGTGTTACACACGTTCTCCTTCGATCACGCCGAATGTTCATACCACTGTACTAACGTGAGAGCTTGCTGAATTCTTTCGTCCTGGTCGATACCTGATCTTTCTGATCTCCCTTCCGCCTAAACTTCGAAAAATGGGTTTAATGTACCCTGTAGTTTGCGCCGCCCGGCTACCCGAAGAGGTCAGTGGGGTGTATCCTCTCCCTAGCTTCGGCTCAGCACTGACTTCAAGCGAGGGTTGCAGACTATAGATCTTTTCATCAAGGAAACTCGCGACGAGGTCGACATGTGGCGAATTGTTTTCGTGGACAGCGTTGACGATTATTACGACGAGGCATCAGGGGTACCAGGACAAGACGGAAGCGACCCAAACTCCCCATTCATTGGAAAGACGCCCCAGGAATGTCACCAACTGCTCTTGAAGCTTCGCGAGGATACAGAGTCGGAAATCTTTACGGACCTTTTTGCCATCATGGACGAGAGATCAACAGAAGACAACACTGTACTGCTCGTGTGCGCAGAGAGGGACTCCGGCGGGGAGAACGAAGTCTTGGCCCTGGCGACTGTCCGTGCTACCTTCAAGGCTGCACCTACCGCGCTAATGCTATATGAAACGGGACACAGCAGTGTAGGGGAGGATGCGGAACGTGCTGCACGTGAAAAAGACAATGTTTATCGTGGAAGGTAGTCTACTCACGCATAACGTGGACTAAATGGCATCGATCGTTTTGCAAGGCCGGAAGAGCTATATTCTAGCGTCCACAGGGGATAGCGATTGAGTGTATAAAGGCCGCAGTACGTTTGGTCGTGCGGAGCGACGTGAGCCGCAACGTTGTCGCTCTGGAGCTCGTAGACCGCACAGAGGCCGCGCTAAGTAGCTTTTGTTGTTGTGTTGGAGGGCGTTGAACGTACAAATACGGTAACGTTCGATTGTGGTGCGACTTGCAACGGTATCGAAACCAAACTTCAGACTGCGTTCAGGAGGACGTATTGGTTAGGTATAGGAGGATGCGCAACAGAGGGGTAACTGACAAACCTCGTCGCGCTAAGTCACATGTCTTCGCGTTTAGCGTGAAACCTCAAATTAGCGTGTAAGCTTCCCCGCGTCTTTTTACTGACACAGCATCCAACTCCAAATTCGAGTATCAGGCTGAAGCAGATCTTGCTGCCATCGACAAAACCATTGTCCATATAACCTCTCTTTCTTCCAATTTACCAGGCAATTTCCCGACTTGCCGTATCCGCGATGGCTGGCCCGACGCCGTCGACCCCATTCCGCTTTCGCGACCTCCCCGGAGAGGTAGGACTCTTCGAATCTCCTCAATATGATGCGTGCTGACTCCTATTTTCCGCAGATACGCAACAAGATCTATCGTATCGCATTATGCAGCTTCAGCCCACCACCAACCACCGTCACGATACAGCCCTCGTCCTTTCTCACCGCGACACTCGCAGAACATCAGGTCGAGACCGCGATACTGCGTGTATCCAAAGAAACATACCGCGAGGCTTATAGTGTCATGGTCAAAACCAATCGCTTCGTAAAGGTCACATCGTCGCGAGGGCTTCCTATGCGCCTTGCTATGGCAGGCCAAGCGGTCCGAATGATCGCCATCGACAGAGACATTGTTGATAGATTCAAGGGATACGTGCTTGGTGTGCACATTGGTTTCAAACAACCACGATTCGCTCGTTCCCCAGTTGAACCCGAGAGCCTACGTGAACCTGTCACCGCGATGATCCTTTACAGCGATCTGGACCGGTTTTGCAAGGCATTAAACGATGGGGACTTACATGATCCGGGGTTCAGTGAAAAGATCAAGATCTCAATCACCATGGCGCCTGTCTTAGACGTTGCGTCAAGTAACACACTATCACCCGACCTCAACGGTTTCTTCACCAAGAAGACGCAGGAAACACTGTTCACGCCATTTATGGCCAATCTGTTTGGATACGGGGCCGTCGACATCAATGGCCATGTCGACAGTGCTCTGGCAGCTACCGTTCGTCAAAGTCTTGGGCAAGACAGATGTTTCAATCCGGCGGCTGTTCTCGCCGAGTTTGCGGCCGCGAAAGATCGCGGGTCACAACAGTTCAAAGACCGCCAATTTGAGGAGGCCGTCATTGGTTGGCAGGACGCCGTTTACGATCTAGAGCAGTTACGTGAGTCCAGTTCCTGGCCAAATCTAATTCGCAAGGGAGGTGATGCGTTCGTTGCGGAACTCGCTCCGCTATACTTTCTGATGCAGCTTAACATCGCCCACGTTCAAATCGCAAATATGCAGAAGAACGCGTTTGGGGCCGAACTGTTGGCGGATGGCGCGCTGAACTCTGCAACTCGGTCGTTGAAGCCAGGCTTCTGGAAACCGGATTATAAGTACAGACCTTCGCTTCAGCAGTTCGCCAAGCTGCGGTATCGGTACGCAATGTTCATGAGGCTGGAAGGGAACCCGCAGAATGCGAATCGCGCTTTGAGCTTCATCGATAAAGCTCTTCTGTCACAGCCGGGTGACGGTGTACTTCTGAGAGAGCGTGAGAACATACTGGGGTGGATACAACGGCTTTGATTCCGTATCCAACGACTTCAATACGCGCTCGAACGCCTTTCATAGTCATCTACTGGCTCCTACGAAGCGATCATAGGGTATTGGCTTCCCGCACTGGTGCCTGGGAAAGCTAGGACCTGGTGGCTCGTGCTTCATAGCTCGCTACAGATCCCGAAATTGATTCTACCTGTCGTTGTTTCTACGTTGCCTCGAAAAGAACTGTTTCGTTAAAGCTCCGAGACCACTTCCGCCATCAGAAGTGGCGCGCAGTCGCTATAATGTCCAAGTTCGCTCAACCCTTCCGCTTCATGGACTTACCCGGAGAACTGCGCAATCAAGTCTACACCCTGTTGCTATGTTCGTTCGGGTACCCAGTCGAGCAGACTGTCGACAACTTCCATTTGCCTATTGCATCTGATGGCCACCGCGCCGACACAGCCATCCTCTCCACCAGTCGTCGAGTCCATCTTGAAGCCTACGATGTCATGGTGAAGGTGAATCGTTTCGTCGCTGTCCGCGCATATCTGCCTTTACCATTGATGGAAATCCTACAGGAGGGTGATGTGTCGGTCATCACCCTCAATGATCTGCATATCTCTCAGTTCAAGGGCCACATGCTATCAGTAACGTTATCGACGTCAACGCCTTCGCATGAGCCGCCCATGAGCGTCATGCTCCTCGCCGGAGACTTACAACTTCTCTGTGAAAACATCAATCGAAGCGGTTTTGATACAAGTCTCACAATCGACGTGGACGTTGCGCCCCTGCTCGGCGAGCCCACTCCAGTCTACAAAGATTCCTTCGACGCCTTCGTCTCGGAAGAAATACAACTCAGCCTGCTCGACCCATTCAAGACCTACATGCGGGGCTTCAAGAATGTCCACGTACACGGTCGCGTGTCGTCCGAAATTGCGATCGCAACGGCGGCGGACATGTGCAAGGATGAATGGTCGGATCCTGTTGAGACTTTTCACCAACTCCAAGGACTGAAAGATCACGCTGATGTGAAGTGGGACTATGACTCTCGCAGGGAAGTATTAGGGTCATGGAATGAGTGTTTGGTGGAGATCGGCCGTATCCGCGAATCTTCGTCGTGGGGCAACCTCGTCTTGTTGGGAGGAGATTCATTCGTCGATGCAATGATTGAGCTAAGGTTCTCATGCTGCCTGGGTCTCTGCTACGCTATCATAGCGATGTTCAACGACGAGATGGAGAACGGCAAACATGGAGGGCTTATGGACGCTCTCGACATGATCTTAAAGCGTACCATGACCGCCGTGGGAGAATGCATGGAGCCAAATCTTTGGCAAAAAGGTCGCGAATGGGAGCCCTCAGATGCTCGATTTGCTAAGCTACTCTACCGACAAGCGATAATGATTCTCCTAGGCGGCAATAGTCGCAACGCGGGCCTCGCACTCGAGTTCATGGAAGTCGCTCTCGAACTCTCGCCTCGCGACAGAGATATCATGAAAGTACATGACGCCATACTCAGATGGAGTGCTTCTGGCAGCCACTTCGATGCCGATGGGGATTCGATTCGCATCCATCTGTCTGACAATGGAGACATTACAATCGATATGTAATGTAACGGTTGCGTTCACATTCAGTCTTTTCTCACGAGACGCGCTTGGACCTACGTTTCTGCGTCTCAGGCAGAACTCTTTAGCAGATACATGTACGAATAAAGTGTTTGAAGTTGATCCGATATTCCCTCTATTCGTCTACTCCATCTGTTAATTGTGTAGCTGTGCGTACCGTTCTTCATGTCTTCTTTTGCTTTGATGAAGTGCTAATACTTGAACGCACGCACAACGTAGTTGAGCAACATGGTATATAATCGCAATGCAGCTGTGTGCCCTAGACCTTCATGTTTTCTTAACCCGAGACTACCTACAATATCCTGTGCAATGCGAAACAAGGTCACACCAATGACGTAGTAAATGCTCGTTTAGTTCTTTCTCGCCTCCTACGTGCGCCTTAGTGAGCTGCCGCTGCGTCACCGCCACGCTCGGACTCCAAGGTTTGTTTATCAAGCGCTAGGCCGCCTTGCACGCACGTGGGAAAGCAAACCACAGACTGCCCCCACCTTCAACCTTTGCACAACAACTCCTCACTCGACTCCGACTCAATAGTCGCGAAAATGACTGCCACAGTCGACGCCAATATGGCTACCGCCGATGCCGACACGCCCTTTCGCTTCATGGACCTTCCTGGAGAGCTCAGAAACAAAGTCTATAATTTGCTGCTCTGCTCGTTTGGACCCACCCCACCTCCTGCCCGGGTAATTCCCGAGGAGCTGTTCAGCAAGGAGAACTTCCTGGTCAAGCTTGTCTTCGCTCAGCAGTGGAACGACCCTACTATCCTTCGTGTAAACAGCCAGGTTCATCGTGAAGCCTACGACGTCATGGTCAAGACCAACAGATTCGTTCGGATCAGCTGCCCGGGTGGTCTCACTCTCAACAACCTCATCGCTGGCCAAAATGTCCCAGTCATCGCGAGTGGAAAACGCGCAGCAGAGTTCAACGAGTACGTCAAAGTCGCACTGTTTGTCATATCGACTCTGCTTTCTAACACTCTATTGCAGACAACTTATCGATATCACTATGCCTTCCGCAGATTCGGAGATCTCGTACGCAGGCGTTAGTCAACCAGCAAGCGTAGTCATCCTAGGCCGTGAACTTTCCAAGTTCTGCGGCAGCTTCGACATGGCAAAGACCGTCGTGCCAGGGCTTGCCAAGAATGCGACTTTCATCATAACTGTAGCTCCGATGCTCGCTCATGAACGCCCATGGTACCAAGACGACCTGACAGAATTCTTCTCCGAGGCTACTCAGAGGGACCTGCTCTACGCACTGACAGGCCTGCGAGACTTCAAAGACGTCGAAGTGCATGGTGCTGTCTTACCCGATGTCGCAACGGCCCTGAAAGAGCTGATGATGTCGGAAAAGTGGGATGATCCATACGAAATCATCGAGCTTAAGAAAAAGAGCAAAGAGCGCGGTGCGCAACACTACCGCGAAGGTGGACTGATGGATGCGTTCTCCGCTTGGGGAACAAGCATGCATGAGATCGAACGTATGCGCGAGGGCAACTCCTGGAACAAGCTCATCGAGGTTGGCGGCGAGCCTTGGATCGACCAAATGGCTGAGCTGCAGTGCTCACTTGGACTCAATTCAGCTCTCGTCAACATCATGTTGTGGGGCCCCGACTCGAAGAACGCGTCTATACCGCTGGCAGTTCGGCAGTCCCATAGGAGAATCGCCATGATCAGCCTTACAGCATCTATCAAGTGTGCTCATCCAGGATATTGGAAAGAGGGATATACATGGGTGTGCCCCCCAATGCTCCAGGCAAAGATCCTGTACCGCGAAGCTGTGTGCATGCGACTTTGGGGCGAGAGATGGGAGGCTGTCAACGCTCTGGAACTCATCCGCGGAGCTATGTCACTCGTACCGAACGACCCCGTCGTCCGCAAGGAGGCGGAAGCCATCGTGATGTGGGCACGTGGTATGTAGGAGGGTTGTGAGCATCTCTGGGTGCGTGCGACGGTATACTTCACCGTGATTCTGGATAGATGGAATACATGGATGGGAACAAGTACCGCAGTCAAGGACGTGTTCGCACAGCTCATGTTCAGTGGCCATAAGGATTCATACTTCTTCTAGTAGAATATCAAAGAATCTCCTCTCACTTCTATACTCATTAATACATCGCGTCACCCCAGTCTTCCCTGATCATCTCACTACCCTTCTCAGCCACCATATAGATACTCGCCAAGATATTAGCATCCGGAAGTACCGGCACAATACTGCAATCAATAACTCTCAATCCATCGACACCATACACCCTCAACCTACTATCCACAACACCACCATCTTCCTGCGGCAGCATCTGATTCGTACCAGTAGCATGCCAGTTGGGAATGGTATTCGCCTTGATATACTCTAGGATAGCTTCGTCGTCGTCATCAGCAACAGCCGGACCAGGGCTGACTTCGCCAGAATTCGGGCCGATAGTGAAGCGCGACAAGGCCGGGTGGCGAAGGATAGCGCGGAGGTACTTGAATGAAGCGATACCAATGGCGCTGTCGGTGAGGTCGGCATAGTAGTTGCTGTTGATGAGGGGGCTGTCGGACATGGAGGCACTGCGGAGGCTGACTGTACCGCGGGAGAGCTGGACCATGCTTGATGCGGTGACTGAGATGTAGGAGTCGTTTGATAGCGGCGCCCAGTATGGTGTTGGAATCCACGGGTACCATACGCTCTCGAATAGATACTCGATGTGGGTCTGGTTCGCTAGGCCAGCGTCGATGACAGCCTGAGCGCCGATGTCGCGTAGCTGCTGCTCGCTGAGCTTTTGGAAGCCGTTCGTGACACCGGAGGGAGCAGTGTATTGGCCGGTGAGGTTTTGGTAGAATGCTTCCTGAGCAGCGCGCAGATTTTGGGGTGTGCGAGACATATCCGTGGTGGAAGCGTTGTCCTGGGCACGCGCCATGATACTGAAGACTGAGTGGTCATTGAGATGATGGCCAACATTCTCATTGACGACGACAGGCGTGATGCCAACCTTCTCGAGTTCGTCGGCCGGACCAATACCGGAGACCATGAGGAGCTGAGGCGAGTGGAAGGCCCCCATGCTGACAATGACTTCGTTTCGCGCTCTGGCTTGGCTCACGAAACCAGTGATTTGGTTGATGTAGCTGACACCAATGGCACGTGGCTTGCTAGTGGAGTTCGTCGAAGATGGCTTGCTCATGACAATGCCAGTGACGGGAGCGTCATGTAGTACCCTAAGGTTCGTTCGGTTGCGAGCTTGCTGATAGAAGCTGTCGTAGCTGGAGCTCCTTCGCAGCATGCTGTCCATGGTCGTCGTTCCATGCTTGACACCCTCGCCGTCTCCGAGGTTGAGATCCTCGACGATAGGAATGTCGGCAGCTTCGCTGCAAGCAACGACGAATCCTTCGGTAGATGGTGGAACGTATCCCTGGAACCCTAGCTGGAGCGGCCCGTCACTATAAGCATCTTCATTGAACGTCTTGTACTCTTGGCTGAACGCCGAAAGCTCCGCCGTTGAGGTGGGCGCATTCAACTTCGTACTCTTCTTGAAGAGGCGGTAGACATCGTTCCAGCTCCATCCAGGGTTACCCAATTCGGCCCAATGATCATACACGCTGGCTGAGCCTCGCGCGTAGTAAAGACCGTTGGTCGTGCTCGAGCCACCGAGAGTTCGTCCGCGGAGATACTGAAGGGTGCGGTTGTTCAGATGCTCTTGCGGTGTGGTAAGCAGACCCCAGTCGATTACACTGCCTTTGATAAACTGGTTGCCGCCAGGCGATTCGTATGCCAGAACCTGTTCGGGACTGGGCCCAGCTTCGAGAACGAGCACGGAGAAGTGACCAGACTCAGTAAGGCGATTGGCCAGGACAAGACCAGCTGTTCCTCCTGCTTGGTGTTAGCAAGGTCTTCGAAAGTGTCCGACCCTGTGGACAGTATCGACGGCTATGATCCGTTTGCCGATGATCCCCGTGGCGAACAAGGAGTAGAACGTACCACCTGCGACGATGAAGTCGTACTCTTCGTTGAAGACTGGTTCTTCAGTTTGACCTCCCTGGGAAGGAAGATCTCCTGGGCCTTGGCGTTTCGCGAACTGAGAGTTGTGCAAATTGTACGTTGGCCAGGCAGAGGCGATGGACGAGAACGAAAGCAAGGCATATGCAGATGCCTTGGCGGCTGTGAGGTACCGCATGTTGAAGCTTTACTTGCTTTTCCTCTGGTATGATCACTACAGACAGTTGCAATACTGTTAGGGAAGCTCAGCCCAGAATAGAGCGATGGGGCTACACGGCACTGAGATGATCAGAAGGTACAGCAGATGTGACGAGAGTGAGTACATCTCTTTATATCATGTCCATCATACTGCCACCGGAAGCTGAACCAAGGCAGCGGAAGCCAAGACCTTGGGTATAGACTTCCTGCGCCTTGGTAAAAGCCGTCTCATGTTGGAAAGAGCAAGTCAAAGTAGCCCAAGACTTGCTGTCAGCCACGCCGTGATTTCCGGCTGACTCCGAGAAAACCGGTGATGCTCGCCTTTCATGTCGTACAGAGTTTCTAGATAAGCTTGGAGCTGTTTGCGATCAATCCTGGATCCCGGTCCATTGCAAGAGTGGTATAAGATCCGGTGGGTGTGTAGGACGAAGGCTGCTTTGCTTACGCGAGCAGACGACGACGGGGTGGCGGAACAACACGTGCAGCATGGCGATGTACTTTGCCACAGTCTTGGTACCACCAAGGCTTGATAGAAGAAGGCGATGTGTGGCACCGCATGAGAACGCGTGGGCATCCTCGTAAAGTGGAAGGCTATGTCTAGCCAAGGCAGAATCGTCATTGCCGAGCCTGGGGCAACGCCAGATCACGGTCCAACGTCGATCCACGTACTTCAATGTAAGCACGCCCAGCGCGTCGGGCCGGAGCTTACAGGTGATGTCGCATTGTTGACAATGCCAATGATAGGTGCCAATGCGACGGCTCGAAGAGCGCTTTCCAGAAGTGCGGGGAAGCTAAGCCACCGTGAGAATGACCGGTGGAGGACAACACGGACTTGCTCGGTACATGCAAAAGTATCTGGCCACCCAGGAGGACCTACGCGTATGAAGAAGGTTATTTGGTATCACCAAACATGTTGCGCGCTGTCATCTGCCAGAGCTGATGTTCCTGTTGAGTTTTAGGTGCCGCTGAACCCGTGTTTTGGCATGTGCATCTAGCTACTGGCTAGTGTCGTAGGAACTGGAGCCTCCTTTGCCGATGAGGTAGAATCGTAGTCATTCCATCGTGCTTGATGAAGGAGATGACGGCATGTTTTGTTGAGGTGGGGCTGTGTCGTCAGAGTATCGCCCGTTGAAGGCATACATGGATACCCAGGGAGACGCTGCTCATCGCAATATGAGGACCTTGATTTGGACAAAGTCCGATCCATGACGAGGAGCTGATACGCTCGATCTGAACTGAAGTCGCGAGATTTTGATGCGCATATGCTCGAGGTACATGGGGACGGTGAAAGCGGAGATGGAAGGATGAAGAGGGGTGTCGCGTCGGACGCGTCCAGCTCACAAGCCAGCCACGTGAATTATGTAAGCAGGCCCCACATGATCTGACCGGCGCTGCGTCTACCAACCTGAACGTAGATCGCGATACCAATCAGAGTTGCATTCCGCGAGGCTTATTGTATCACAGGTATCACCGTCGTCCACAATGCGACATCCACTCTTTCGTGTAGCCATCCATGTAAGCAGTCCCGCGATGTCAGCCTTTTTATTCTACACCTATCGCGTCGGAGCGCATGCCGAATCCCATTGTTGCACCTGAGAGCGCCAATTACAAACCGTAGAACAGAGATTTGTGTACTATGAAGCATGATGTTCAATGTTGCATCCTTACGAGAAGGATATCTATGCATGGTCTGGCTTTGCCGCCGCAACCTTAGCACGCGCATCCGCACTCCTTTTCCTCTCTCTAAGCATCTTCTCCAAATACTGGAACAAGATATTCTCCTTCCTAATTGGATCTTTCAGTGTCTTCCAGTCCTGAGTCATGGCGCGCTCTGCTTTATAAACATCCCTACGGTCCTGCCATTCCAATCGGTTCCAATCACGGAAATCGCTCTTCTCTCGACTTCGCCACGCAATCCTTTGGTTGGCTTTGTACGCATTCTCGTTTCGCGCAAAGTCTTGCTTTAGCCTCTTGAACTGGCGTTGTTGTCCTTCTCGCTCCACGCGTTTCGCCTCAGCTCCTTTGTCCTCTTCCGCGGGACGTTTGCGTTTAGGGGTCGTATCAGCAGCGGCGTGCGCCTTTACATATTGGGTTAGCAGCCGTGGGCTGAGTGCAACGTCCGTGATGAATTTGCTGAGCGGTTCTCCATCATTGGAGGCTGCAAGCGCGCGGCGAAGTCGTGTTGATGATAGTGGCTCCTCTTTGTAGCCGAGAAACCAGACACCGCCTGTCATACCGAAGAAGCGTGTGGGCACGTAACGCAGCCATTCTGTAGGTGGTCCTGTAGAGCGGTGACACATTCGCGTCTGTCCAAGGCGCCAGATACCTGTACGTAGTCGATCCTTGATCATCTGGAGCCGCTCGTCACCTGGATCAAGATTAGCTGTGGTTGTGCAAGACATGGCATCGTACGTACGGTCGCCCGGAAGGTTCGTCATTGCGCGCGGAAAAAGCATTGATAACTTCTGCTCCAGCCACGTCAAGTTACCGCCAGCTCCCAACTGCTGGATAAAAAGTTCTTCGAGTGTTTCGGTGCGCCAGTCGTTGTAAGCTGTCAATTTTCGTAGTCCCGTTTCCGTCTCCATGCGTAGGCTGGTGCGTTCTGGATCCCCAGTACCAACGACTATAGTAGGCCCCCAGTATCCGAGGGACCCATATTCTTGATCAACGTGATCAGGTCCAATTAAAGTGATGAACCGTATGTTGAAGCCATCTTTTGCGGCCTCTGATATGAGTCGGTCCTTGAATGCTTCGGAGCCTGGCTCACCACGTGGGTGACACCAGTGCCAGCCACCATGGAGACCACTATTGTTGATGAGGTTAAGACGCTCTTGTAGGGTGAGAACTAGGTCCTTGGAGCCCGGTTTTCCGCGTCTGTACTTAGAGGCTACGGAATAGTCGTCCAAAGGGAAGATGATGGCGGCTATCAGGTGTATACCCTCCCCACCTCGAAAGAAGGCGTGGCATAATGTTTCCTTGTGTCCTTGATGAGGCGGATTGAAGCAGCCCCGGAAGGTCAAGATGTAGTTGAACCTCCCCTTGATCAAATATGGCGGTGGCATGTGAATGCTGGGCCTGAATATAGTGGCAGTGGGATCTCCTAAGGCTCGCTTGATATACACCTCCAAGGGAGCAGTTGAGCTCATGACTACGAGTGAGTGCTTGGATAAAGTCGGTGGAGGTTGCCAATTCCTGTAGTGGGTAGTACTTCTATCCTCTCAGGGTTGCTGTGAATAATATTGATCGCTCCATCGAGTCCCCACCGTGGAGAGCCATGGCTCGAGAGCCATCTGCGACAAGCACTTTCACCCATATGGTTCTACACATTCATTCATCGTAGATTTGAAGCGAATGCGGGTACGCGCTGCTGACGGTCGAGCGAAGTCGTGGTCGCCTGCGACATGAACGGTCGTTCAACGGATAGGACTGTTGTAGATACATGCGAGACTATGTCGCATCTTTCCATCACACCTATCGCGCAGGTGAGCGCGGAAGGACTCGTACTCATAGAATCTTCGTGTCGCCTGTTCGAAGAGCATGGCACGAGCCATCTCAGTTCCAACACTTGAGCTCATCAGTCTTTGGTGCTCTTCGTACTGTAGGCGTATTCATTGAATATGCGACCGAAATCTCACAGGTCGTCAGTCCCGTAGCTCCGCCTCCGATCTCGTGATCCATGCTCTAGATCTTTGCTTCCTGGTGAAAGTCAGATTCAGCGCCGATCATAAGCCATTGTACAAGGCATGCCAGCTTTCACCAGAACGTACCCACGACAGGTCAGCTAGCACCAAACGGAATGACGCGCTTCCACGAGGCAGTGGGGCTGGGCTAGCTTGAGGACTTCGGGGGCGAAACTATATCTCGATGCTGCAGTTGCCCGTGGAAAGTTTCGAACGTGCTCTTTTTAGAATGCACTGCCGACGTGAACCCGGTAGTACACGTCATTGCAAGGCCAGAATCTTTCTCTTGCGTACTGTTACTGTAGTGACCCAGCGGTATAGATCTGCGTACGTAGTAGAAGCCTCGCGAGTAGTCGTGATGAGTAAAGTAAGGGTTGGCGGTGCATTGTGCCCTGCTGGAGAGAGCTGCCGAGTTTGACAAAATCTGTAAGTGCGTCGTTGATCTGAGGGCACGATGCCACGAAGAGGACAACTTCTTCAGGGCTGAACGCACGAGATTCATTGAAGACGGATTCTCGATGGTGGGGAAGCCGAGGCTGGACGCTCGTATAGCAAACCATGTTGCGCCTTCCACGAGGTTGGGAGGCGGCTCTTCCGGAAATCAATCGCGGGGCTGCGCTAAGCTCGTCTGGACTAGCGCAGATGTCGCAACATTTGAAGGGGGTGAGGCTTGTCACGGAAAGGCTTCCGTGCGTCATCATCGGCATCCACCAAATATCTGAGCTTCGCGCTCGAGGCTGAAGTCTTTTCGCGAGCTACTTTTGTTGTGCATGTTGGGCATCTACGAGGCAACTCAAAACTATTTCGACCACAGGTCGCCACAGTCAAAGCGCAGTCAGCTTGCATACCTAGGCAGGTGGCCTTGGGCTCAGGGCTGAATGCTCATGCAAGTTCAGCACAGTGGCAAGACCGTTCGGGCTGGCATGGAGAAGTGCAGCAGCGGTAGCTCATTTGCAAGACGCAGTAGTTTGTATTATGTTGAAGCCAGCTTCATCGGCGAAGGTATTGTACAGGCAGGGTGTTTGTAGATATCCGTATTCCTATTCATTGTTCTGCAGTGGGGTATTACAATGTCGTAAGGACAAAAAGGAAAACAGGCCGGTGTGGGTGTGGGTATGCGCAATAACAAGAACGCTATCATCATTCGACCGTATGCTCCGCTGCCAACCTCGGTAGAGTTCCTCGTGAATGGATCGTCTCGCTCAGTCCCATAGGTCTCTCGTCCAAAAGTCTTCCATCATTCTCTTCGTCGACCTTTTTGAAGCTGTCATGGACCAGGCCCCTTCGAGGATCTTCGTGTTTGCCGCCGAGCTTACTCTTTGAACGGCCGGAGATTGGGGATGGGAACGTAGTACCATCGCTTAGCACCATGGCGGAGGGTGGTGCAGCAGGCATCTGGCGCGGTAAGTCGAGAGAGCTGCTATCCAAAGATACGTGGTCAGGCATGCGGCGGACGATTGGGTTCTGTGATGTCGCGGTCGGTGCGTCGCTTTCGCCACGAGAGTGCCGTTGGCCGTTTGCGTTGTTCTTGCGTCTGCGCAACCACCAGACCAGAGCGACAATTAGAAGTGCACCGACGATGCCACCGATCGCTGCTCCAACTATAGGGCCGATTTGAGCCTTTGCCTTTGCGCCTGGCAAGACGCGACATACTTGCTTGACCTTCGCATCAGCGCCTTTGGGGTCGGCTGCTGTGACGACTGCAGGCGCGAGCTGGAAGTTTTGCGCATCGGGATCGACGATGAGGTAGTTTTGCGTGAAGAAGGGTAGGCCTAAGGTTCCGATGGTCATGGTACTAGGTCCGGTTTGGTTCGTCACAGCCATGTTGAAGACTGTTGCATTATCCACTTCGTACAGTCCTGCAGCATTGTATGCTCGGGGCCGGCTATAGAGCTCAGTCGCTGGAATGACGGACTTGTAAGTTGCGACAGAGGGCTTGGATGCGTCGCCGCCGGGGGTGCCCATATCTGACAGAGTGACGGTGATGGTGCCTGCGGGAGCTGGGTCGGTAGGAAGCTCGAAGTGACGTGAGGTTTCGTTCCAAAAGGCAGTAGTCTCTGCTGCAGCAAGGTTGTCCAACATTGCAGCTGGTAGTCTAATGTCAGATGAGAAGGGGTCTAGATGTACGACGAGAGTGTCCTTTGCGTCTGCAAAGAGCGTGGTGCTCTTACCGCCAACATCGTACGTGATGGCCGTAAGGATAGCGCAAGTTGGACAGTCGGAAAACATAGGAAAGGTAGTGGCTGCACTTTTGAGACGGCTTTCGTCGTAGCCACCAACAACGATCAAGCCATCTTGAGGTGCTTCTTCAGATTCTGATCCGGCCCATAGTCCATACGTTCGGGAAGAAGCTTGGCCGGCGTCCACGAGGTAGTTCAAGAAGCTCGAGTCCATTCCTAGAGGCAGAGTTGCTCGATAGCTTGGCTCGTTCTTCATGAGCGCGTCTGCGCTTGCTACAACGCGTCAGTGCTGTAACGACCCAGTCTTCTCATGGACTTACTATCGGTAGATCCATTGGTTAACATGGGAAAGGTTGCGAACTTGTTCGCCTCCGGTTTCAGACCAAACGCGGCGGCATCATCGAAAAAGATGTAAGAGCTCGCGTATGCCAGATCGACGGACTCTCTGCTGCCTGTCCATGTTGCGTAGTCTACCTCTTTGAACGTAGTCGAAGTTGCACTATCGTAGATGCCACCGAGTTGGCCAATGCAGCTGGTGTTCGTAGCTGCCACGCACTCGGCTGCATTGTTGATGAAGAGATTGTCGGAAAGCGTCGATGGCGTCAAGGAGAAGGGTTGCGGAGGAGTGCCGATAGCGAAAGAAATGCCTCTGGTGAGGACAGTGCCGTCAGCGGAGACAGTGTTGTTTGCCCAAGGCAGGAGCAACGGCTTGGAGCCGTTTGCGCAAGCCATCGTCCCTTGGTAACGATGGATGTCCTCCGAAAATGTAAGATCTGGTGTTGTGTATTTGTGACAGCGTCAGCCTCGCACGGGTATTTTTGGGGTCAGCCATGACTGTCCCTGATATGGATTGCAGGGACGCATTAACAAGGGGATGATCTGCTAAGCTTGGGCATGGGCACCTAGGCTATGGGGATCGGGCGTTGATGACACCTGCAGACCTGAAAACTCGGGTAAGGAAAAGAACCCTATTGGATTGGTCCGTTATGATGTACTTCGGGTACATACTACCTAGAGTCTCAGAATGGTCGGTACCTGGGCGACGAGACATATGCGCTTCTCCACAGCTTCAACTCGTTCTCTTACTCCACGGTACGCAACGAACACAGTCATCTCCATCTTCAAAGTAGTCCGGCGACCGCCGATGCTCTGCGTAGAGTGGTGACGTCACAGCGTAGGTGCAGGCGCAGGCCTTGGTTTGTTGACATCCGCGAGTCGCCCTCATCTTAGATTCAAGGAATCTTGCTGTTCGTGTCGCAATTCTCCTGACAGGACGGGCCTTTTGCGGCGAAGGAAAATGTTAATTCGGACCGTTGACGTCGGAACGTTGTTCAGCCACGCGCTGTCCCGTCCATCGAGCCAATCAGCACTTGCCGACTCACTAGCGTCTTTCGGGGACATGTTTCGCGTATGCAAATCTCGCTCGCTTCTCTGATAACTCCGTCGATCGTGTGCCCAACCTCACAGTCGGGGTACATGCCCAAGTTCGCCTCTCCCTGTCTTCGTGTGTTCGAGCCTCGATGGATTTTCGATGAGACCGGAGGTGGGTACCGTGGTCGCGCATCATCTTTTGATGACGCACTGTGATTGGAAGGCAATAATTTCCAGTCCGATAAGATGAGGTTTGTCGCGTCACGTTATACTCAACGGGCTCGTAACCTACGTTCACCGACCTTTGGCGTTACGAAAGTCCGCATCACGTATGAAGGCCTGACCTTGAGTAGGTGCATGAAAATTTTAGCAAGCTCAGCTCGCTATGTGATTACTGATGTGTCTCATAAACCGTCACTACTACTACTACTACTGCGTCTATTCCAGACCGTTCTGACCTCAATATTTGAGTATGCAGGCTATTTTTTTCCCACGAAGTGGAACTGTAAACCGCCACTCGACCTCAGCTCTCAGCCCTCACTATCCTGAAGTGCATGTTGGGCATCTTCTCATGATGTGAAGACACTTGACTTCACATCTCTCCTTTTCGCCTTCTTCAACTCACCCGTGACACCTCGGAGTTGCCGATCAGCAAATGGAGGCCTGCTCGTTGTATCGCATTGGATGCGGCGTGCTGTAGTTCGTAGTCTTGTCACCAAAAGGTTGTGGCCTTTCCATTTGGTCATCTAGCCCAAATGAGAACGCAGGCCTTGATCTACTAAGGCTCGAGATCAGGCTCCAAGTACATGACTCAGAAGATGTACCAGAACCTTCCGTATTATTGCGGCTCCTTTTGTGACCTTTGCTCGCGGGACGTCTAATGCAGGTGTATTGTTTGTAAACTGCATCTTCAGTCCACCAAGTCAATGGCATGGGACCGCATGCGCAGCCCGGAAATTGTAAGTCGGGGGAGAGTCATGATGAGACGAAACTCTTGAGAGTGTCACAATGCCTCCACCGACACGGTTCGGCGTGGAGCATTTCGGTGATCAGGGGAGATGGAAACGAAGATGGGTTTAGATAGCATGGCTCAGTGCTTTGCCGATACAGACAACTGGTTCGTGAAGGCAGAGGTGTCGGGTGATGTGCGTACATAATGTAAATGGCTGCAGCGCCCAGTGCCGTTCTTATTGAGGCTGCGCTGTAGCTAGTTTCGGTAGATCATTTCTTCTTCGTAAAAGAGAAAGACCAATAAACATTGTAGCAATACTGATACTGACCAATTCGTGACATCGAAGGGTCTCTTCTCGGCCAAGAAGCCTGATGACAAATCGTCGATTGAAGACAAGCCAGGAGTGACGAACTCGAGATACAAGTAGAAATGAAGGACGACTGTGGAGTTGAATGAGTTAGATGCTCCACATGAAGATCCACAAAGCGACGCGACCGATCATGCCATTCACAGTCGCTGCCGAGTCGCTCCGGTTGTGTGCAGCAGTACTGTAAACGTGAGTACCATTTCCCTGGATCATCAACACCCATCGGTACTGTGGCTGGTGTATAGTCCGCTATAAATCCATGTCCGTGTCGGTAGCCGTGTTCCCTTCTGTCGTCTCTGGGGCGGCTCCAGCAATTTATGCGTTACAGCACGTCTGCTGATACTTGGAACTTGACATACATGTCGGATCCGGATCCGGATCTTTGATGCCTTGTGGAAGTGAACAGCGATGTGGTCCAGATCATAAAGCAGACGTCTTATAATCGCAGAGGATTCCAACACTTCTCACAACGGGTATCCGAGAAGGCGTAATGGGCATTGAAGGTTTGGAAGAAGACACCAGCTGTATTAATCCCGGTAGAAAAGCTCGTCGACCGTAGGCTCTTTAGATCTCGTAGAATGCGGTATGCTTAGCTGGAAACCATGTATGAACGAAGTGAGAGCTGGTGAGATAGATGGTGTTGATGAGCGTTCTGCCCGCATTATCACGGGGCGACGCGCGTCGAGTCATGGCACCGACTTCGGCCCCATTACTCCGGTTGCCATTTCTACGGACTCTTCCGCACCTGGCTCTCGACCAAGTTCCCTTGACTGAGGCAAACTCAATGTCATCGGTGTCATTTCACTGAAAAGACGCCCAGTATGCGCTCTGAGGAAGTTGATGCGGCGCCGGTTAAAATGGCTAAAGTGCGATCTTGGTCATTGGGGCGGGACACGCACAAGTAAACATTCGCGCTAAAAAAGGAAACGATGCCCAGGTGGTTCGTGGCTTTACGGGTGGGCTAAATCTCCACGGCTTCTCCTGTCGTCATCGAGTTTAATGAGATCCCGAGGTCTGCCGGAGAACTTGAGTGTGAGGTTGGAGGACAGAGAATGCAATGATTGATGCGACGTGAGAGAAGAAGGATACTAATAAACAGAATGTTGGATTGACGTAGATTGAATGCGCGATATATTGATGTGCATGTTGATCGCGGTTTACGGTGTTGTGGGTCGTCAATCAACCGTGAGCGCGGACCCTGAGCGGCCAAACCCAGCAACCAGGCATCTTCCCCTCATTTCTGCCATCTCTTCGACCATCATCACCACCACCGCCGACAAGCGCATCAGACCCTCGGATGGATGGAGTAGACGCTTGAGGCTGAGGATTACTTGACATTAACCGGCCAGTGTCCATTAACGCAGCCGTATCTGCACCTGCGTTGTCGACATGAGTGGGACCTGCATCTCACGTGCCTGTCTACCCCGGATGTGCATTTCGCTTAGGCAATGGCCGCTGGCGCCCAGAACGTCTACCCCAGAAGTAGGACCAGACCCCGATGATCCCGAGGTCCAAGCCGGTTGATTTGTGGATTAGTCTGGAGAAACTCCGCAACCCGCAAAGCAGGTGGCGCCATGCAGCTAGGTCAAATGGTTTACAGCGGCGAAGGACAAGTTTGCACATGAGCCACGAGCCCGGTTAAACAAAACGACTGGGGTGAAGATGAACCGCGAGAGCGGATAGATTGATTGAGCATGCATACGCTAGACTTCTAGAATAACCGTCGAAGAATATATAGGATGACAGGCTCGCCGTGTCTTTAAGGGTATCCGTGGCAGACAACCTCGAATCAGTCAACACTACAAGTCTCATCACCATGCGTTTCTCCAGCATTGTCGCCAGCCTGGCGATTGCCAGCTCCGCTGTTGCCAGCCCGTAAGTCACCCGCGTTCTCGCCACCATTGCAGTTGGCTAACACGGAAATAGTACCTACGGCCATGGCAAGCCAAAGGAGGACAGCCTCTACAAGGCCATGAAGAAGGCAGGACGGGAATTCATCGGCACAGCCCTGACCCTCCGCAACGAGACCCGCGAAGGCGAGATCATCAAGGCCGACTTCAACTCCTTCACTCCCGAGAACGCAATGAAGTTTGAGTCTGTTCACCCAAACCAAGGCAACTACACCTTCGCGGATGCCGACCGCTATGCGGCATACGCCAAGGCGAACAAGCTTGAGGTTCACTGCCACACTCTGGTATGGCACTCTCAGCTGCCCGCTTGGGTATCTGAGGGCGGATTCGACAACAAGACCCTCATTGGTATCATGGAGGACCACATCAAGACCGTCATGACCCGCTACAAGAGCGTTTGCACACGCTGGGACGTAGTCAACGAGGCTTTGAACGAGAACGGTACCTACCGCTCCAGCGTCTGGTACGACACCATCGGCGATGCCTTCCTTCCCATCGCTTTCCGCTTCGCCAACAAGTACCGCGGCAAGGCTGAGCTCTTCTACAACGACTACAACCTCGAGTACAACGCGGAGAAGACCCAGGGTGCTCAGCGTATCGTCAAGCTCATCAAGTCCTACGGCGTCCGCATCGACGGCGTTGGCTATCAGGCCCATCTTGCCAGCGAGCCCACACCTAGCGCTCCTGGTGCCGCTCCCGATCAAGCAACACTTGAGGCTGCCCTCCGCGCGACTGCTGACCTCGGCGTTGACGTTGTCTACACCGAAATCGACCTCCGCATGCTCACACCCGCCACCCCTGAGAAGCTCCAGGTCCAGGCCGATGCTTTCGAGCGTGTTGCCAAGTCGTGCATGAACGTCAAGCGATGCATTGGTATGACTGTCTGGGGTATCTCCGACAAGTACTCTTGGATCCCCGGTGTTTTCGAGAACGAGGGCGCTGCCCTTCTCTGGGACGACAACTACATGAAGAAGCCTGCCTACGCTGGTTTCCTCAAGGGTATCAAGGCCAAGAAGGGTCACTACTAGACGGAAAAGATAAAGACTGTATGACCTTGTAGATATCGAGTAATGTATACAATGTATCAAGACGATTTACATCAGAACGAACATCACATGACCCTCTCGAGCTCGATAATAGCTTGCTCAGCTTTTACAAGTTTAGTATACTTCTGTGGTAGGTTAATGAGATGGGGAGTCATACCCTAAGGTGGTGTTGAGCCGCAAAGCAATGTTGGGCCGAGCTTCCCCGGCCCAGGACATATTGCATTCACTCTTGTTTTACGGAATCTTTGACACTGGTAGAGGCCTACATCAAACTTAAAATCTCTTTTTATGATACCCATGTGCCTATGTATCCATCCCAATACTCCCAGCACTTCATGCATCATGATAGATTAAAAAGCGGAAGGAGAGTCTATTGAAAAGACCGTTATGATTAGTGCAAGCAAGAGGCCATTTAGCACGTTTCTAAAGCGATATGCGCTCGCCTCTTCCACCCTGTCTATGCTGCCGGGCCGTATACCAACTCAATGTCGCCGATGTGTCCTGCGATCATACCAGCAACCCAAGGGGATCACGACTTAGAGGTCGATCCTATAGCCTTCACCGTGATGCTCGCGTTCGTAAGCCTGTGCAGCCTGAAACTCCGCTTTGTAGTCATTGGTGTTGACGTGAGCGCGGATCGCGACGTTCATGGTCTGTAGTAGCTTTGAACTAGCCTGCTCATACGTCTCTTTGTTGAGGTCAAGGAGAGCCGCCAATGACAAGCCGCTTTCAGCTTTCCACCCGCGCACGACTTCGTCAAGATGGTCTGCTACCATCCTCATCAGTCGGTGTTCCAGACCTGGGTTACCGGGGTTCTTGGCAAGCTTCTCGAACATAGCTTTGTTGTCGCCGATAGGATCTACGTCGTGCGTCTTCGTGGAAAACTTGTTTGCATATTCCTCCCAACTCCAGAAGGTTTGATATATCCCAAACTGAGCGCCGGTGAGGTCCATGATCCACTGTTTCTTGGTCTTTGTCGCGGTAACGCGGATGATCTTGTGATCGCAAAAGGGCCAGGTCAAGTTATCGGTTTTGCCAAGTTTATCGTGGAAGATGATCTTTCGGGGGACAGTACCTAGCGTGACGAGAACCTCCTCGACCTTGATGTTCAGTCCTGTGAGACTTGAGTCAGCGCGAGAAAACAAGTTAGATTGAAGAAATAGATTACCTTCGAGCAGACCAACAATGGTATCATGTAACCAAGCGGTCGGCTCATTACATGACCATGCGCAAAGCAGTGCCTTTTTAGAACGAACATTTGTGACAAGATGATGCGGAAAGTCGACAAAGAACTTCTTCTTCTCGCTCATAGACTCGTCGAATATGACCAGAGCGTCATTGCGATCGTGAATCTTGATCACAGGTTGAACCCAAGTGTTCTCGCGGAAGTCGTAGTAGGCCTGTTGAATGACCTCGGCTACGCGCGCAAGCTTCTTCTCGAGGTTGACGTTCTGGGCGTCTTTGCATGGTTTCTTGTGAATCGGCCAATCCTTTACCTAAATTGATGATATCCGAAGTCAGTGTATGTCTCACACGCAGTTCGTACATGGGAGATCTTACCTGGCAGGCCTTGCCGCAGTAATGACGCGATGAGATATCTGAACTGCAGGCGCCGCATTTGCTGTGAGCCAGCTCGCCACATACGGCGCACGCTGCTTGTAATTCGGGAGCCATGGCGATTGCTTTGTTGTCGTAAACAGCGGAAAGGAGTTGTGGGCGCAGAAGGGTATCCAGGTCAAGCCGGGCAATACTTGTTCCGATTGCACGAGGTGAGCTATGACGCTTTTGGCTTGCAGCCTAGATGACTAGATGAAACACGTCTGCAGACTACGTCAAGATAAAAAGATGCAAAGTGGTTGACCTGACGTCAACGTAGGCTCTAGAGTGTTCAGCGTTTTCATAGGTTGACGCGAGAGGATCGGAACCATATCGTAGCTATCAACCCCCAAGCGAAGCGTCTCGAGATTGGATATGTGGAGGACGAAAGCTGTCGTATAATCCTGATTGAGAGATGACTTTTAACTCGCATCAATTGTTCGCCAATCGTGGCCATGAACCGTGAGCATCCCTGACTAAAGAGACTTAAACTCCTCTATCACCATACTCACGCCAGGGCCCTTGTGTTGTTCCTCAATCTTAGCCAGATCAAGAGTCACCTTAGGGCAGTTCGCATTCTCCTCGACCGTCGTAGCATCGCCAAGAATGCTAGCGTAATCGAAATGCCTCCTCATCATTTCTCGCGTTAGGCTCTCGGGCTCATTGATGATCTGAGACATGAGTCCACCGACGTTGTAGTTGGAGATGTACCCATGAACAGCCTGAGACAAAGCCTCAACCAACGGTTGTGTCCAGCTCGTCGAGCCTGCGATGCTCCTCTTACGAAGATTGCTCAAGTCATTTCCAGGCTGCTGCAAGAAGGTCAGTAGTGCTGTTTCCATTCGTGATGAGGCCTGAAGGCCGATGCGCTCTGTGTGCGCAAACCAGCCTGGCATAGTTGAGCAAGTCCAGATGTATTCTCTACATTTACCGAACTCGAAGACTCTACAAAGCGCCTGCATGTGCTTGGATTCGAAGTCGGCAGCGGTAAAGAATGCTTGCGTGAGCCCGAGCTCAGCACCGGATAGGTTGATGTACCATTGCTTTCGGCTCCCATTGGCGGTAATTCGCAACAGTGAAATATTGTGCTCAGGCCAATTCTCGCTGTCTGTACCGTCATCTGCAAGGAAAAGAACGGTCCGTGATGCTGTCTTGATCTTTACCATGACTTCGTGGATGTCAACATGTTTGGCTGGTCAAGTGTCAGCTTATCATTAAATCGCGCGCAGATATAGGCCGGGCCACTTACTCTTGGTGAGCTTTTTGAGCAACAGATGCATATATGCTAGGGGTAAGAATCGCGCATTGCAGCACAGCACCGCGTGTTTGGTGGCTGTATCAGGGAACACATCGTCAGTGAGCTTCGGGAACGGGTTGTTGCTAAAGTTAACACCCTTGTAGGCGACGATCTTCTGGTTGTCCAGTTCAATCTTCGTAATCAGCATCATGTTTGTAGCTTCCAGGAGCGCAAGAGAAGCTGACTGAATGACGTTGGCGACGTGCGGCAGAAAGGCTTCAAGCCGGATGTCGTGGCAGATGTGCATGTGATTTGTCCAATCAGCCTTTTGGTGATCCTTGTTACAGTAGTAGTGTTGTTTGCAGCCGCATATCTGTGTTGCTGGTCCGTGACAATAAGAGCAGAATGTCGAAGCCATGAGCAGAGAATTGCAGAAGATTTCTTAAGATGATGTGAGAAGCCAGAAAATACGGCCACTTCCAAGCTTCATATACTTCCAACCTCTCGTCATGGGTCGAAACGCTACGCAGCTGACCGCAGGCGTGATCATAACGAAGGCAACAAACATCGACTCACACAAACAACGAGACTACCCTTATGTTAGCAGATACAAGACTTTGATAGGTTGCAAAGTGACGAGAGATGCGAAGACGATATTACTAGATCCATCGAAGCTTGCAAGGGTGTGTGAGCGCGCCATGTCAAACGTGCCGTGCTAGCTGGCTGTCGGAGGCAGGAGCAGAGAGGAAGGCGACGACCGGGCCAATGAAGCGTTCACGGGTATTGACGCGGCAGATTGCACTACAGTGGTTATTCAGTCATTCCAGAAGGCGATACGAGCGGCCTGGTAAGTGTAGACGATGATGGCTGCGATGAAGAAGACGCGATGGAAGAGAAGACGCGATTTCCGGAAGGTTGACGGCAGACAGGGTCCACGCTAAACCATATGCGCACTAGTCCCTTGTCTCACCCGCGGAGCTTTCTCGTGACATTGGAGCAGACATCTTGTGTATCTTGAGGAGATAATGAGTAACGCAATGCTTGGGTCGGCATGTCAATTAGAATCCAGCAGTTCAGTCCAAACTATGTGTGGGAGGCTCTACCACCTAAGCCTGGTACATTGGCGCTCCAAGTAACAACCCATGCAGACTACCACCCCCAATTAAGCGAGTATTCAACACCTGATGTAGCTCCATCGCAGATACTCGATTAACAGGTGAGAATTGGAGACATTTCTTCAAGATATCGTTGAGCATAGGTGTGTATGTGCCCCCAGCTGGGCTGCTTTGAAACGACTGCAAGTAAAGGCTCGGCATCGTGGTCAATCTACAAAGCGCAACGATGACCAATCCTACCTGAAATACATCACTTCTTTTGTTGTTCGGCATTTCGAAAGGCGGTGGGCTAAAATCCTGTTGCTGTCGTAGCTCAATGGCGTGCCACTGATCAACACTCGATATGCTCGAGCCAAAATCTCCGAGAACGACTTTCGGCCATGAGGGTTCGTGAGAGGCAGGAAGCCCGAGGAAGATGTTGCGCGGGTAGATGTCTCGGTGCAGTATCCAGTCGTATGTGTCGCTCAGAACCGGGGGATCGCCTCGCTGCATGTGTCGCAGAGCCCGGGCTAGCGACCTGAAGACGTGCCAGATAAAGCTCTCACTGAAAGGTTTGCGCTCGCTGACATGCTTTTCGAGCAAAGCCCATAGATCACCGTATGCATACACATCCATGACAAGGGCGCCAGTTCCTGTTGCCAAGTTGAGTTCATGCTCGCGGTAGGTGCAGACGTTGTAGCAGTTCGATAAACGTATAAGATGGCTTATCTCGCGAGCGGCGAAACCTGATGCAACGTCTCTGGGATCGAATTCTTTGCGCACAGCAAGCTGGCCATTTGTTTTGTTCCTGAGGAGCCATATCGCTTTGTTGAAATTGCCAACGGCCTGTATCTGGCGTACGCGGTCATATTGGTTGCGCGTCGGGACGCTGGCACGTTGTAAATCCATTATATCGCTGCTCACCCTATATAAAACCGGTCTCTCAGCGTGAGATGGTTAATAAATACTGGCCCGGTGTGTTGGCGACGCGTTTGTTGCCTGTTGGCGCTGCGTTTTCCTGGTGCAATGGCCGCTCGCGATCATCATAAGTGCCACATCTCGTGGGCATGACGAACGAGATCCGATGGTGAGTCTGCAGTGCTCTCGTGGCGTGGCCACCTCTTCGTCTCCGCCCGCTCATCCGGGCGCGCTATCGCCTGGATGGTCTCTGAACGCGCTCTCACCTCCGCTCTCTCACCTCACAAGAGCCGCCACACGACCGCAACAACGCGTCTCTCTCACCTGCTCCCAAAATCTCCACTCTCACCTCCCTCACCGCATACCCCGCACTTATGACCCACCCAATCCCCGAATCCACCATCGAAACCACCTTTACCTGCCAACAAAAGGGTGGCGGCTAGCACACAGAAAAAACATTCAGCACTCCAGCCGGTGATAGCCGAAGCCAGAGGAAGCTCAAGGCCACAAACAAGAATCGAACAAGAAGCCGATCAGAAAAAACATCAAGCTAGTCGTGATAAACTGCCATCAAAGAAGCAAGTTTCGTACCTGGATAGAATACAAGGTTCCAAGGTATCTTTTTGCTGGTTGAGGGTGATGGTTCGAGGCTGGGAAGAGGAGGAATAGAAAGTTTCTTTTTGCCGGTTTTCTTTGCGAAGTGAAAAGTTGTAATGCACAAGGCTAGGTGCGGGCGCGCGTTCGCGAAGTAAGATGCAGAAGGTCGGCGAAGATATTAACCATGTCTCTTAGTTCTTTGTTAAACATAACTTTGTAAACGCGATGACTGTAAGGATGGCAAAGCACGCGGAAGAAAGCGAGTGATGTTTGACAAGACTGCTGCGTCCGGAATGGTCATAGGTAGAGGTGATGAAGTTATAGGGTAAGGCAGCAACCGAGATGACTAGAAAGGAAGTGGAATAGACTCAAAGCACTCACTGCGCGCGCGAACTGCATAGAAACGTTGCGAGCAATGTAGATGGAAGTATGATGAAGGGGAAGGATGACGGAAGACCGTCTGTGGTGCGTGCTACTCACTGGCCAATCAGGCTTGGCATAGCTCCGAGTGGGGCAGGCACTCCTCGAAGCCCGCGTCTTTCTCGTCCGCGACCTCAACACCTGCAGAAGCGTTGCTTTCATGCAGCCTGAATCGCTTCGCATAGGTGCATACTCCTTAAACGTTGAAGGACTGGTTGAATTGTTGTTCCCGTGCAATGCTTCAAAGTCGGGGCACTGGAAGCGCATAGCACAATGAGCTCTGGGATGAAATGCACAACGCGGAGAGCCGGACATGGGCAAAAGCAAAACAAGAGCATCAAGGAACGGCAAACTTGACATTGCAATGATGATTAGTGGGCCGAGGCGACGTCTTCACATGACGATCAGGCACAAGACAAGGATTCTAGCGCGCTCGCTAGCCCCTACGTCATCATTCTCCGCAACCCAGCAACATAACACGACATCTTTTCGTCCCCTTGACACCATCACACAGCGATTGCAAACTCAATTCCAGCACTCTCAACTTTACTATAACCCTCTTCACGCACCACAAACAACCTCAAATTAATCACAATGGGTTGGTTCAGCTCCGATGAGAAGTCCTCCCTCGCGACTCACCCCGTCAACGTCGATGTCACCACAAAGCACGGCTCCGCCGCTGAGCAAGATCGCTTCGGCGAGCACTTCGGTGCGTCCACAGATGCCATCCGCCGCGGTGTCGACAAGGGCCTCAACAAGCTGCAACAAGCCGCTCTGGCCAAGGGCGAGGGCGCCGAGCAGGACCGCTACGGCGACCACATGAGCATCGGTGACCGTGGCTACAACGCCATGAAGTCAGCGGCCAAGTACAAGGGCGATGGCGCCGAGCAAGACCGATACAACGCACACTTCAGCCCTGCGCTGCACAGCATCGATGCTGCCAAGGCGATACAAGCTGCGGGAAGCGTGGCTGCCAACGGAGAGAAGAACGCCAAGTACTTTGGCCTTGGATACGATGGTCAGCAGAGGGCGAAGCTGATGGCCGGTAGCGGCATGGGCGCTGAGCAGGTAAGCTACTAGCTACATCCGCTGCCTTGGACACGATACTAACACTCTCGCAGGACCGTCTCGGTCAGCACTTCCACCTCACCAGGGACGCCGTCGCCGATGCCGCACAACGGGTCAAGGACGGTGCGAAGGACGTTCTCCCCAGGAGGTAGATGGATAACTTCATGACGCGAGCATGACTACAGCGACGACCTTGGCTAAGATTACGACGGCCGTATACGTGGACAAACCAGTATCTGCCCACGATGTATCAATACAAAAGAATAATTTCACATCATGCTTCAATTCATTTCCATCTTCGTTGCGTGCATGGAAGAACAAGAAGTGCTTCAAGGCAGTCGAGAGCAATATACCAGTGTAAGAATAGACGTTTTTGGCTAACGCTGACAAAGGAAGTAGTCTATTTTACACCTGTTCCTGACATACAGCCACCAAGCCTGTTACGCGGCCCGATCCTGCAAACAGTGTACCACATCCTTTGTTCGCCACCTTGGTCATGCCACGCACAACGCCCGCATATACCCCGCCGCTGCATCCCTATGCAGACCCTGGCAACCCACTCTTACCGGATGGCGCCATATTCTAGAGCGCAGCACAGGTACTACATGCTAAGCACATTGTCTTGCCCAAAAACACCATCTTGATTTCAGAATCAGTCCAAAATACGGCCTTCTCATGTGCACGCGCCCAGTCTCATGTACCCCACATCAGCCACTTGCGGTCTGACATCAGCACAACAGCTAACGCGTTTCGTCCCGGGATTGTTCAGACAAGCGACTAAATTAATACCCGAGTTCCAAATTTGCACTCACTGACATGCTTGTCATCACATCAACCGTCAGCTTCGCACGGATGGGTAGTACTAAGTTATTAACCAAGTCTCAACAGCAGATATTTCTTTCGAAAACGTAGGGTTGCGCGTTGCGCGAATTGATGCTGGTGATGCAGTTGGTGCATGGACAGCTTGGAACGATGAGTAAGAATGGTAGCGGAAGTGTGAGCATCCATGTGGGCTGAGCAGAGACAGCCGGATAGTAAGTCTAAGAAAAGAACGGAACGAGAACTCACCGTGTACGGATGTACGGTAGCGGTATGTGAAGAGGATATAAAGTCGACATACCATGTTCTTCTCTTTTTCTCGCCCACAGCATATTCAATACACTCTTCTACACTTCTCATAACATACCACACTACACCCACCGCTCCATCTTTCTCCTTCTTCGCCACCAACCCCTCCAATCAACCCACCACCACCCCAAAATGCAACTCACACTCCTCCTCGCCCCTCTCCTCGCAGCCTCCGCTCTCGCAGCTCCCACCTCCACCACCCTCTCTCCCCGCCAAACCCGTACCCTCCGCGTCCAACTCTCCAACGACGCCACCGACACCGCAGTCCAGGCCAATATCCCCGCAAACGGCATGCGCATTTCCATCCGCGCCAATTTCGGTAATCTGGGGTCACCCATTCGCGCGAACCGCGCGCTGATTGTGGGGAGCGGGAGTGGGAGTTGTGGGATCTTTAGTGATGCGCAGGGTACGAGAAAGGTCGCTACTATTGTGTAAGTCGAATTTTTCTTTTCACATACACACACACACCTTTTCTCTCTTCGCTCTTAGGGTGGATTAGTCGGAATATTGGTAGAATGCTAACGTGACGATAGGCCCGGTGGCGCTGATGCGGAGTTCGGTAACACGAACCTTGATAATGGAGTCATCGTTTGTCAGTAGGGTATGAGGATACTCCGGCTCATCGAGATAGAGATGTGGTGTAATGGACCTGGGTTACGAGCTTTTGATTTTTGCAGACGTGTCATGGTCATGATATTGCTTTGACCCTTCACAGTCTTTCCTTGAATTGTTTTTAGATGCTACATCATGATTAATCTCTGCTATTATCTAATTTGCCCCCTTTGACTACTTCCCATAGATAATGAACTTGCTAAGTACGCTCCTGACCATAGTTTGCATTTCATCCAACCGAAGAACATCTGCAGTGACTTAACTACCAGCACGCCGTGGCGTGCTTATTGACAGCGCAATCCTCTGCTGTACTAGACGAGCAGCTCCTCCTACTTGGACCATATCGACGAAAGTCTCCTGCCCATCTGACTGATGCGTCGACCCAGCGACTCCTTAGGCTTGTCTCCCCTCGTTGTGGTGTCGGTATCACCATCCTTCTTGGTCGTAGCACCTAGAAGTTGCCGTAATGATTTGCGCCGCGCATTCTTTTTTTCTTGAGCACGCGCAGCAGAAGGTGGAGGAAAGATGGGCATGCTGACACCGCGCTGCTGCTGGGGATTTCGAGCCGGAAACTGGAAGTCTAGGTTCAGAACACCGGTGTTGGTTGGGAGTGGAGGATTGAGAACATGACTGATGGTCGGGAGTGGACGACGGGTGATCGAGCCAAAAGGTGCGGGTTCTTTGATGATATCTGCATTCGAGCATGGCTCAATGAACTTGCCGACAGAGTTCGCAGTTTCCTCATGTGTGGTCTTCACGCCATTGCGTTTGTGCCTCTTCTCAATTTGAATTTCTTCAATGTTGGCGTCGCGGTCATCCAAGCTATCGCGGTGGTGAAGGCCCGAGGCTTCCGTATTCGTCGGAACGCCGCTGCAGGGTTTCGTCCAGAGATCCTCATCGCTATCGTATCCGTCATGCACTACCCAGTTTGAAGAGCTAGGAGACGGTGAAGAAGATCGAAGCGACCCGTCTTTGGCCTTTCGCAGTATCGGCTTCCGCTTAATTGTCGACGCGTTTTCCAGTGCGTTCCCAGAATTCGCATCATAAGTCAGCGGGAGAAGACGCATAAGTTCATCGCTACCAGTCGCATTGTATGTGCGTGAAGGAAGAGTCATCCTATCGTCGTCGGAATTCGCATTGTACGTCCGCGGAAGAAGGATGGTCATCTCTGATCCAGCATCCGGGTAGTAGGAAACTGGTGCGAGGGTCGTCAGCCCATCATCCCGTGCCTGAGGGTGAACACTGACAGCACTGAGCGGACTCTTTCGTGGCTCAGGACCATGCTCGTCCAAATCGAGGAGATTCTGCAGAGAAGGATAGTCATCTGATTCTGACTCGTAGTGCATGGGGGGTGCAAAGTCTGGTCGGGAAGCAAAGCGGAGGAGCTTCTTCACAGGCTGCTCCGATGGCCATGGCAAAGCCCAGTCCTGGACGGCGCATCCATCTTCAGCGCTTGCGTGGGTAAAGGCATCCAATGGGTAGAGTTCGCGAACATCTTCGGTATCCATGTCCGAGAGCGAGAGCGCATATTCGTATTGCGAGAAGGGGCTTTCATGGAAGTTGAAGCTCTCGGTCTCATTGAACTTCTCGACCCTACGAAGCGGCAGATATGGCTCAGCCGATGGGGATGTTGCTCCAACTCCCGGAGAAGCGTCGGCGTAGCTAGGGTTGTAGGATTGAATGGACGGTGTGCGCTCATCGTCTTTGGTTTCGTCCGCTGTCGTCCCCGGTGATACGATGCAATCGTGGAACTCTTCCGGCCTGCCTGACTCCATGGAGGAGGTTGTACTGCTGTAGCCCGGCAGCCACTTTCGTTTGGTAGCACGCACCTCAGGAGACGTGTCGCAGCTGAACACATCCATACGTGAGTAGTCGTCTTGAGAGGAAGTATGATGTGAATCTGTCGGCCAATGGCTATACTGTCCTGCTGTTGCACGAAACGATTCCGTACCGTATGCAGTTCCCTTTAGTGGGTCACTACGTGAGACCACCTGTGATAAGCTTGTCTTATTTCGTCGATGGCCACGGTGGAATGGTGTATTACCCGCTGTTGAGTCCTCTAACACTGTGAAAGGTTCATCGTTTGAGGCCTCGCTCTGAACAATGCCTTTGTTACTAGACGGGTCGAGGTTCAATGCAGCTAGTATAGCGTCTTGAGCAGCTTCGTTTGCGAATACGGTCGGCGGGGGCGGCGGAAGAGCGAAGTCGTCGATCTTGCATTTGCGCTTCAGCGGGGAGCTATGAGCCGAGCGCGGACCGGGGCGATATTGAGGCGTTGACGTCGGTGAAGAAGGGTTTGCCTGGGATGGCAGTGTGTCGCGGTCACTGTGTGCGGAGACGACTACATCAGTCAGTGGGCTAACCATATTGATGGTATTGACCCGCGATGCGACGAGACCACGTGGGGGAAGACCACTCGATAGTGATCGGGCACGATGTCGCAGAATTGGTGAGTGCGATACGGGGCCAGCTTTCCCGCACAGTTGGTTCTTGGTGCTGGCAAAGGGTGTGTCGGGCGGGGACATAGTCATAAGCTTAGTATTGATGGGAGTGCTTAAAGGTGAGCAGATAGCCGGCTCATCCTTCATTCTCCGCGGTGGCGCGGTGTTGTCAGATGGACCGAAGATTCCTAAATCGCGATAATGATAAATAGCAAGACCCGGCCCACTATATGCGAAGTCGAAGTCGGTGGAATAGATCTCTTGGGATGCGTAAGGGCGCTGCAGTCCTGGTAGATGGGCGCCTCCAGTGACGGGATGAGCCGCGCCAAAAGGACGAGTAGCTGTTGTTATATTGTATAAGCGTGCGAGTCACACGTGCTCAGGTGTCTGTGCGCCTTATGCAGGTGCACATGCAAGTGGGGAGTGAAATCATTCTCCAAACACACCATCTCGGCGGTCATTCCGCGGCAGTGTCGTCTGGTGAATCAACCTCATGCTGAAGGGTTGCGCGATTGGGCTATCATTTGGCCCCAATCAAATCTCCTTTGTGACAAACCATTCTTGCACACCAAACCCCCTCGAACCGCAACTGTAGCAATCTTTCCAATGCAACCTTCCAGGAGCCAACGACCACAATTTGCAACCTTACAGCCCAAAATGCAAGCCCACGAAGATGCCTTGGCTCTGCTCACGGGTAGTCCAGCAAAGACCACCGAGACGGGAATGGAGCATCTTTTGAGTGTATACGGCGCCCAAGAGATCTGCGAGCTAGCAAACGAGACGTGCCCTACAACCCAGCGTAAAACGATACTGGATGAACTCGCGGAGATTCTACATCTGCGTGGTCGGTTACAACAGATGGGTGCTACTTTCTCCGACAATGGAGAGCTTCTCACTTACGGCAACCCATACGCGTCCACGGAGTTCCAGACCATGCTACGTCTCGGTCCCATGTACGAAGAGCAATGGAACAGTTTTTTCATCGATAACTATGAGCCTCCCGACCATGGAGGTGCAGACAGGCAACTATGGTGTGACCTACGTACTCTAAAAAGAGTTCTCCGAAATGAGGGCATCGTGTTCGGCCGCGAGCATCAACGCTATTCGTTTGGTAACTCCAGCACGAAGCTTCGAAGACTCTGCTGTACGTATGACGAACTGCGGATTGAATGGTTGACAATGATGCGATCGAGCCTCCCAGCACTCGGTGACAGACAACTGTACACCCTTTTGGGGGATTCGTCCGGTGATGAAGATTCGGAATCTGGCGAAGACGCGGAGCGGAATGAAGATAGAATCGTCGTTATAGACGGCGAACAGCCATGCGATAGAGCTGGCCGGCCTCGAATGCTGCGGCACCGAAGCAGCGGCGTTCCACAAGCCCTTGGCTGGCGTTTCAGTGACGATTCCACGTCACCGCGCCACAAGAAGGACTGGTGGAGGTTCAGCGACAACCTGGAGTCTGTACCAGTATGGGGAAACATCGAACGTGCTGACGCGGAGGAAGCCCAGGTCGTACCGCAGGCTGTCTCGATGACAGTAAATCGAGACGCCGGAGAGGCCACCAACGTTCAACTTGTCTCCAAAGCAGCGGCTTCACGACCGCCAACTCCCCAACCTCTGATGCTATACAACCCATCGCCATTGCAAGTGAGTAGCACGACCTCTCAAACTGCTCGAATTCATCTACCAACATCCTCGCAGCACATGAACAACCGGCGCACGATAACTCGAGCGGAGCCCATGCCAAGCCCGAGAGAAGAGAATGTCGTCAACAACACCAACGTAAAGCCGATTTGGGCCCGAGAAGTGAGCAAACATGATGGAAAGACCAAGAAGTGGGGAAAAGTTCGCCGTTGGCTCCGACATGCATTCGGTCGCAAGTAGGCCGAGGTGATCCAGTAGAACCTTATCGTGTGCAGTAGAGAGTAGATACAGGACAGTGCGCTTCCTTCGTAATCTAGGCCCCTGCTGTTCCTTCTTGGAGTGAACCGTGTTGCGGATGATGAAGTGAATGTGAATGCTTGCGTTGCCGGCCCGGATGGTGATGCAGACTTCGTGAACTCAATGATTGTGTGTCTGCTTCCGAGTCGCGAATGGCCCAGTTGCTTCTTCACTGTGAGCTTCCATGTGAGGTATTGAATATGAAAATCTACACCAGCACACCAGCAAGACCGTGATTGTGTACTCCAACCAGGAAACCTGCTTCTACTTCAACTCGCCCGCCACTTCCAGTATAGCGATCGCGTCGACATCCAAGATGAACGAAGAACGTAGACATACGAGCCGTCAGCCCAGGGATCCGTCTCGGCCATCAATGACAAAGGAAGACATTGGACAAGCCGAGCGTATGGTTGCAGACGCCGTCCAGATGGTTGACGCAGCCATGTCCAGACATGCTACCAAAGCTCTTGCAAAGGAGAAGAAGGCGTCAAGCGACGTTTGCAAATCTGCGGAGTTCAAATCTGGAGTGGCGGCTTTTCGGCGAGACATTGTAGGCTTCACACCAAAGGTGAAGGAGCTTCGTCGCTAACAAATTCTAGCTTGCCAAAGAAGCTTTTCTGCCCCCAGACTCCGAGCTGGCCAGGGAGATCGCGCGCGAACGTATCGATAAACGGGTGCACGACTTCGAGAAAAAGCTGCAACGGGATATGCTTGATGAGCAGGCCCGACGGCCCGCTGAAACTTCGAACAAGCCTCCTCATAGCCACAAGCCGAAAATGCCGAGGTCTCATCGAACGGCTCCATTATCCGGGAACTTGCAAAGCGAGAAGAGTGAATGGTTCTGTTACAGTATCGATGGGATGGCACCCGTTGAGGTGAGTGCTACCGGCTTCGTCCACTTCCCACGGCATCCCGACGACGAGAATGACTGGGAACGCGTATCTCGCCATTCGACGCCGGAGCCAGAAGAGAAAGAAAAGGTCGGACGCAACGTCAGTGGATCGAAGGGATTATTGCAGGGCTGGTTTGGCAAGTAAGCTCCCGGGGACGATGAGCGCCTTGCCCGAAGTGGGGTGCAATGAGTTGTATCCATGTAACATAGTCGGGCCCTTGACAGAGGGAGGTTTTGAGGAGATCGTATGGGAAGTCTCGTGTAATGAATCATCCAGCAGGAATGCCGTCAGATTTTGTCGTCCTTCGTATGCACATGTGGACTTTGTAGCACACATTAGTAAAGCTGGGTGTAATGTACTTTTGGGGCGCGGTATTGTCTCAAAATAGAGCATGACGGACTCCGACATGGCGTCGCTCCTTTTTCGAGGTTGCATGTTCATCAGCACAACGCGACTGAGACAGCAAAATGCGCTATGCTAGATACTGACCGGCGTTTCTAACGCGGTCTGGACAGGCTCGCGTTGTGTGCCTTGCTTGCCGTCATGACGCGTAAGTAAGTCCTCGATAGCTCTGGACGTGATGCATGGCATGGAAATTTGATAGAGAATCTTAGTAGTGGAGGTAGAGTGAAGGCTCCGGGTCGCGTATCTCAAGCCAGCGAGTTGAGGCACGCGTGACGTAATCATAAGACTTAGCGCGCTGCTAGCGTCGCTCCCTCTTTTCTGCCAGCTGCGACATGACCACCTACCATAGCACGACTTCGGTGCCAGCATCAAAACCGTTGTCACATTATTGAGTATTGCGTCGTTGGGTCTACTACATATGTTTTCAGTGCACCATTCGGACCTCCCTGGCTTTCGCGACGGCGTCGTCTCCACGCCCCAGAGCGCGCTTTCGTACGCGTTCGACCACTTGTACCAGGTCATGCGTCGCGTCATCCATACAAGCATGCAAGACCGTATTCAGTCAAAGTCGACATGACACTCCATCAAAACGCGGCAGCTGTTTCCATCCTCTTTGCTAGGTAATTAGACTTCGCTGCCGCATCTCCTGGTCACGGAGTGCCTTGTGCACGACCATCATCTTTCGGCTGCGAAGAATGAGCATCGTACGGTTCCCATTTGGAAGCTAGATCCTTTGTCAGATCCTCCATGGCAGCATTCTTGCTGATGCCGATCTTGACGTCTGTAAGCCGCTCGCTCAGATTCCTGACGCTGGCATCGTTGGCCTTCTGCCCTCTCTGAGCTGTTGATGGAGTGGCTGGATTGGTATTCGGGTGTTTCGACGACATGCTCTCCGGTTGCCGGAGTGGCCCGAAATGGTAGCGATTCGGATCGTGTATGCCGGATGCGAAGACGGGCAGAGCAAGTAACCAAGTTGTATCATGCGGAGTTGTTGGTTGCTTCAGTCATGCGCGTCGAGGTGAATGTTTGCTAGGTGGCCTGCACTTGCTTAGGTATATCGTGGGCTGGATAAAGATTGGGAGAATATTCACTGCGATGCCGCGTAAGTCGGAGTAGAAATACTCTTGTTTCATTGACAAAGATCAGCGCACGGAGGTAGCTTGGGTGATACTCTCAGACCTCGCGATACACATTCGCCACGCTTGAACGTCTCATTATCCTTTTCAGAACTCGACAAACAACGGTGCGACAATCAACATCGTTTGCTGACACGTTTCCGATCCACCTCAAAGCAAACGGAAGCAATTCTACGCCAGCGGCCACTTGACGCCGTATGATCAGCGGCGGCTGCGCTGCTTCATCTGCAACTGGCTTGTTGTTCGAGATCGCGATCTCTCGCATCGACAGCGATGAATTCATCTAGGCAGAGCGGGGTCTTTTCCATCGGTTCTGATTCGTCGTCTGTGTATAGCGACGATGAGCACAAGTCGGACTCTAATCCGGTGGACGTGCAGACCCCCAAAGAGTCGGATTCGAAAACCAACATTCAGTGTGCTCGCCGGGAAAGTACAAAAACCTGCGAAGAATCATCAACTGTGTCACTTTCAAAACACATCACCACTCTGCCCTCAGGCAACGAACGGAGCCCTAGCCGAGATGAATCAAGCAGTCTTACCGCCGCGTACCGCTTTGAGACATCCGAAGAAGCTGAAGAGCGCCGTCGGCGAATCGCAGCTCAGGCAAGGCCGGAGCAGTCCAACTGGCGTGACACCACCCTGAACGAGCCTAGGACATATATGCAGCAGGTTCTCGCCGAACATGATGCTGCTACTGCAAAAGATCACATTGATGGATGTCGGGCGGAAGACAAGGATGATCAAGAACTTATCGCTCGAAATGCGATGCCTTCTCGTCGACACCTCCGCGTGGTCAGTGCGGACGACGCCCCACCGCGACATACGCGCATCATGCCCATGTCGAAGACACCGTTAGCGTCGTCTAAATCCGGATGGACAACAGGAGAATCAGATTGCGACACTGGGCCGGAAGAATGCATTCTACAAGGAAATATGAGTAGCCCAGAAGCTACCCGTGTCCGCTCTACACCGATCACGCCTAGGCCACGAGCGAAGTCACTTCCGAACACGCCACCAGCGCTGCGCTTAGATGAGCATAATTCATTCGCACCGGATCCCGAGAAACATCAATCCGCCGCACTCTCGGCTCTAGCTGGAGGTGACAGGGAGCCGGTTAAGGCCTTCTCTCGCGAATCATCTGGCCAGTGGCTCGGAAGACCAGCTCGCCGATCTTTGCTCGCTGAGCGGCGTCGCGGACGGGCGGACTGGCAGAAGAGCGGGTTGTTCTCATCGACAGGCCAGCAATACGGGCTTGGGGACCGTGACGGAGGTTACTTGGCCGGCAAGTATGTGACAATCGTTAGGGATGATGTCACACCAGAGAAGAAGAATCGGAAACGAGACGCATGGAAGCGTGTGTCGTGCTTCTCATGATGGTGCGGTCTAGCGACCAATGAAAAGATCATTCACAGAAAGAGATCTACATCCATGAAGTTCGTGAAGTCTGGCAATGCGCTGTTGTGAGGTTCAGAAAGACCCATGTTGTAGCCACATGCGTTCAAAGGGTCATGGATGTTGAATGCATGTACTGTAGACTGAGTGAAGGCCTTCTTTCGTTGCATTGACGTCATGTTCATCATGTTTTGTCAGTCGCAGATGCTCCATAGTATGCATATGCGTTAAATGTGTGTCTATGCGTCTGTCAAGGTAAGCTCTGGATACCACACGTGATAGTGTCTTGGCGCGGTGTTTCACCTAAGTTCCGGTAAGTGTAGCCGAATCAGGTATAGGGGCGGGCTTGGCGCAAGCGACCTTCAACAGCGACTATCCTTCACCCTTTCACTCCACCTCCCTCCATCAACAACATTGTCTCGCAACAGCGCCGTCGCATTGTCAATAATCATTAATAATTCACAGTAGCCCTGTCGCTTCACGCTGCTATGTGTTCTCTCGCTATAGACTACATAGCGGGCGCACAACCCGCCTCTCGCATCCAGCACACTCACAATCAAGACAGTTCGACTGGTTCGGTGGCAAACTCCGTATTTGAATTTGCTTCCAGCCGCAGAAGTTCTTTCGACTCCGTCACCTCTACCCTCTGTTTCGACAGTCAGCCATCACCCACATCGCCAAACCGGAGGGGAGCAGCATCACCCAAAATGACGACGTACTACCATTATGACTCTGACGGTACCGTCACTGCATCGAAGTTGCATCCCAAGGCTACGATCTTTACGCCTGGTCACCTAGATGCGGAAGCGTATGAGCGGAATGGAGACGTCGTTGGAGCCTATCTTGCACGTCGTGACAAAGGCTACCCCGCACATAGCATCGCAGAAGCACAGCAGAGTTGCAGTCCTACTCTTTACCCGCTAGTAAAACCTTTCAACGGCAGTATAGACGGGCAAATGGCCAACCAAAGCTACCGGCCCAGCGATGGAGATGAATTGTCAGGGTATAATACCTCTCCAGTCGAGGCGTTCAGTACACTTGGCTGGGTAGGTTGGGCGGCGTATTCAGGTATGGAGCGCCCGTATCCGAATCCTGAGGACATACGCCACCTACACACCCTGCAAAGTCTGCTGCCTTATCTCCAGCCTGAGCGGAAAATGAACGCGCTCAACGGACCGGTATTGGACATCGTAGAACAAGATACAGGAGTCACGCTCGCTTATCAGGTGCCAAAGAAGATGCTTGTGCTGTTCCTGGGTCGTAAGGTGGTCAACAAGTTCATCCGCACAACACACCGCGAGGACGACGTGAATTGGAAGGGCGCGCCAGTATGTCAAGAGATGGATTTACCTCGGGGAGTAGCTAGCAAGGCCGCTATGAAAGCCCTCATAGCGTGGATGCTGCGAGCTTGCAACTACCAGACGATGAGCTCGATGAAGCAGATCCGCGTCCCAAAGAACACGTTTGTCGCATGCTCGTTGGCTCGCACGATGGAGCTCTTCGATCTCCACAAAGATGCATTAAGGGTAGATCATTACATCGCCGAGTGCCATCTCGCTCGACCAATCTTTGCTGTAGAGTTGGAGACGCTCTGGAACTGCCTCGGCAAGAATAGCCGGTACACCTACGCAGCGATCAAGGCGGTGGGTCAACGACTCCGCGAATTCGAGGCCGATAGCGAAGGTCGGGAGGTACCAGGAATTGATGAAGATATGATGGCTTTGCTGAAGGAGTATCCGAATCTCGGAGCACGCGTACGCGATCCGGAGGTGAATGAACAACACCGCCCAGTATTTGACACCAACTGGATCAAACGGATGAGCGATAAGAACGAACATAACCAGGAGGGAAGTGGAAAGAAGTTGAAGAAGAAGTCCTTCAACCCAGCTGCAAGGCACTTACAGGAACACCAGCCAATAGCAGAGCCGGCTGTGAAGCCACAGCTACCGGATGGTCCAGAAAGCATGGTACGCAAGTTCGCAGTCTTGCGAATCGTGGCAGAAGATAAAAAAGCAGCTACCGGCGACGCGCATAGCAGCGTCGAGCCAAATGGAAGTATCAAGAAGCCCTGATGGCAGACAGAAGGGCTGTGGCAGGACGATAGCAGTCCGGTGCACGACAATGCGGTGTTAAGAACCGCTGAGCTTCTACGATGCCGAAGCCAAGAGTGACGAGGCTATTAGCTTACGTATTGAGTATCGGAGCATGATAGGAGGCGTATTGGCCTGTTCGGGGTTGGGTTTTCCTTTGTACACATTGCATAGCGTGGCGTTTGAAAGGCAGAGATGACATCTGGTGTCGCATTCGATGATGATCGCCAACGAACTGCGCAGAGCTTGGGAGGACACAGCGACGAGAACATACAGCATTCATGGCGCTTTGTCAAATTGGAGAATATACGGCGTGTACGCCAAATGAATTGAAATAGAAGTATTTACACAAGAATCGTCTCTTCTGGACCCTGAAATCGTCTCCCATCCGCAGTATTATTGCTTAATCGTCCTCTGCATCTTCAATGCACTCAACGCTTAAAAGTAGCGTCCAAGCGCGCGACGGAACTTGGAAGAGCTGTTGATGCACTGAGAGTACCAGTCATTGCTCTTCACACATGTCGCAGGAGCCTCGCACTCAGTAGGGCCAGTGAAACCCTGACCACCGCACTGAGCGTAGAGCTTGGCAGCGCCAGCAGAGGATCCAGATCCGATAGGAGCAGCAGGTGCCGGCGCAGCAGCAGCGGTAGTGGTAGCCGCCGGCTTGGGCTTGGTAACGCTGGTAGAGGGAACGGTAGGCTCGGTGACCTTGGCTGGGGCATCAGCATCGACGACCTTTTCCGCAGCGGGGGCAGATGAAGACGAAGCACCGAGGTTTGCGGGACCAGCATTGGCCTTGACGTAAGCGGCGACCTTGCTGGCTTCCATGGGCTCAGGAACGTCAATCTTTCCGAGCTTCGCAATGAAGCCGGAGGATGAGCCTGGGGAGAGCTCGCCGCTTGAAGAATCGACGCTGTTCTCGAGACACGCGCGGCCGAAAACGGATGAGCAGGCATCGCCACCCTTGCTAACAAAGGTGGTAACACCGGCAGCGTGCTCGGTGTTGGGCTGGTCAACAGCGACAAACGCGTTACCCTCAACAAGCGCACTGACGCCGTCATAAGCATCAAAGGCATGGCCCTTCATGTTCTCGAAGTAGTTGTTGACGGCGTGGAAGTAGCTGTTGACACCATCCTGACCAAGCTTGGGAGCGCGACCGGAAACGTCGTGGAAGTAGTTCTTGTCGAGAGTAAACTTCTCAGTCTTTCCAATCATCATCATCGTCCAGTAGTGGTTGTCGTTGCAGGTAGCAGAAGTGGTAGTGACACCATCGAATTCGTTGTTGGAAAGGGTGGCCTCGGAGCCGTCGTAGTGGCTGACGACGAACATGCGGCCGACAAGTGAGAACTTGCAGTGGTCTACCCAGATCTTGGTGTTTCCTCCCTGCATGTCGAGAGCATCGCCACCCCATACGACGCCAGGGTTGATGGTGGTGAATTCAACGCCCTGGATGATGACATTGCTGGCATCCTTGGCGATGGAGAGACCTCTGCCCTTGATCACACCCTTTCCGCCAACACCAAGAATGGACTTGTTCGATCCGACCTTCAAGGCTGTTTCGGCGCCTGCGTCGTAGGTGATGGAGCTGACGGGCGTCATATCCGAGCCACCGCAGGAGAGGTCGCCCAAGTAGTACTGTCCGCCGCCGCTCTTAGCTGAGCAAGTGGTCTTGTCGCAACCAGGACCAGAAGTGGTCTTGCCAGTGAAGTCAAACTGCTGAGTGAGAAGAATGACGCGCTCGGTGTCGTCGGACAGGTACTTCTCCAGCTCCTCGTTTGACGTTGGGGTGACAGCAGCAGCCTTCCCTCCACCAGTCGCGCCAGCACCGTAGCCATAAGCTGTACCGATGACCGATTGGGCGGACGAGGTGGCAGCTGCTGCCAGGAGTGCGATAATCTCGAAACGCATGTTGTAGTCTTGTTACAGGGGTTCGAAAGAGGCAAATGTAGTATTGTAGTGGGCGAGAAGGTAAAGAACGTCACTCAGACCAGCCGAAGATTCCGCTCAAGACGTTCAACGAGAGAAAAATGAGAGGATATCCGAAAGGCAATTGAGAGAATGAGTGTAGCGGATGACAACAGTTCACATCACGAGCAGCCCAAATCCTAATATACCTACCGCTCTGTAACCGCATACACCTGCTTCGTATCCATATTGGTTACGATCCTTCCCGTAACGGTCATGTTGCCAAATGCGTGATGGCATGAACCAATGTCAAGGGCGTCATGATGCTAGTGCCCGTCTGGCAGCGGCTTTGTTTCAATCGTCTTGCCACGCGTGCGCCAAGCCGGACATTGTTTCCATCAGCGCGCTTCCCAGTGCCAGATCAAGCGTTCGCAGGACGTTGTGGTATGGCGCAAGGATGCGTTGGGTCGCGAACGATGAGTCGTTGGTGGAAACAGCGGAGATGTGGAAGGATGAAACATCAAATAGGGCGGCGTCTCGCGTAGCTAGCGCACCACGTGATTTTCGCGGGCCAGCTCCAGGGCTGTTCATTACCACGCAACCGGTAAAGACGCATGAGCACGATGTGCAAGGTAAACTTTGCGATTATCTTCAGATTGGCTCACCGAGGGTCGCACAGTGTAGCAAACAAGTACTATGATGGCGCGGACGAAGTTGACCCGCTCAGTTTGCCTGGGTGTGGCGCGCGCCACAACACCCCCTCCTGCAATTTACACGTCTCCACCCCTCCACGCATTTGAAGTGACTGCGGGATGAGCTTTCTTCCTGTATAGTAATCATATTCGCCCCTTACCTTTGCTGCAGAATCACCGAGGTCTACTGCATAATTGCGTCGCCATTGCGCTGAGTGACACACAATTGTCCTCCAGGCGCGCTACATTGGAGGAAGCATTCACAAACCGCGACATCACAGCAGCGCATGGCGATGTCATGGCAAAGATTCAACGCCGGTGGGACTTTTATCAATACAGATTCACTGGAATGGGCACGCTATCGATGGCGATTGTCACGCACGACGACGTCGATGGAATGGCTACCTACGCAAGCGCGTTGTCTGAGTTGGCTGTGTCGTAGCTTTGCCAAAACATCGCTGGAGCAAGACTGCCAGCAACACCGCGCCTCATCTATTTGAGAGCTTACATCTTCAGGAAGAAAAACTCGCGCATTCCATCTTGCTCAGCGATACAGTAACTTTGCTCACTTCGCAACATGTCACAAAATGACTCACCTCCCAGTGGGCACGACTCGCTTTCTGCTACGGCTCGCGCCCGCCACAGGCAGCTGGTTCGCCTTTCCATGTTCCCACCCATTTCGGGATTAGAGACGTCCGTACCTCACCCAAGCGCTGTAGCGCCCGATGTAGCGCAAGCACCAATAGATCGGCATAGCCTGCGCTCCAGGATATACTACGGTACACAAGAGTTGCGGCCAAATGTGCCAGTAAATCCACAGCCCACTGCTGAAGATATAGCACGCCGATCAAGGAAATCTGGAGTTCGGTTTGGTACACACGATACACCCATACGTGATGCATCAGGAAGACGCCAATCTAAGATCGGGGACATGGAAGACATCACTTTCGGCCTCGATACTGCGCTGACGTCAAGGAGCAACGACGTTGGCCAGGTCCGTAGGCCACATAAGTCCCTTCAAGGTATCGATAAATTTGGCCAGGTATTTACTTACTCACAATTTGACGAACAAGCTATGAACGCCAATGAGACGCAGAACGGGACCACAGACGAGTCGAAATTGCCGTACGTGTCACGCACAAGGCCGGAGACAGGGCATGATGAAGAACAAGGTTTAGGTGAGAGCTTTGAGATGGTACAGTATGAGGACGAATTGACTGAAGACTTTGAAGAGGTCGACCGAGACATTCCGACGGCCTTCAATGGCAAGGTGCCACGTTGACACTAGCAACATGAAGAGAAGTTGTTCTGACTAATTGGGGGCTGATGGAAAGATCTTGTTGTAAATGCGATTGACCGGTATGACAGGATGATTGCTGAAGTGATCACTCGAAGGATAGCTAGGTGCTACTACTGATGGTCTTCTGCGGCGCTGACTTCCAATCTTATGACGTGACTTTCTCTAGCTTCAAGACCTGCGCACATTCTCCAAGACTATCTTTCATCAGTGACCAAATCACCAGAGCAACAGGCGGCCAGCACAGCGCACAACAACCCCATTCATTCACTCACACAATACTCACATACGGCGTGCACATCCATCTACCTCGCCGCAGGGGAACCTCGTTCCTCTTTCGTACACCACACTCTACGAACCACCTCCTGCAAGCAAGCAAGTCAAAAGACCCATTACCCTTACACTGTGAAACTACTGCACTTGGCCCCCCTCAACCCACGCACCCTGGAAATCCTTCCAAACCCTCCAAAATGACACAGCCAGACCCAAACTGGAACCCGCCTCGCGGACCCAGAAACCGCTATCCACACCGACGCGGCCACGTCCAAGCATCAAGTGATCCAAACCCCGCCCCGCAGATCCTGCAATCTCAAAGTCAGCATACTGAGTCGACTCGGAACGCGCTGCGGAATAGCGATCCTTTCCAGTACGATACGCAGACGATGCCGTACTGGGACGATGCAAGCGGCGCAATCCACGAGATGTCTAATGCAACACCCCGAAATCTAGATCGAGCATACGCGAAGAACTCTGGTGGTGGTGAGACTGGAACTACTACGCATGGCCAGCAACAGCAGGATCAAGTTGCGGGTCTTCAAACGTACGGTCAACACCAATGGCATAATCCGTATGCGGAGATAGTTGGCGGTGGACCGTATACACAAGATCAAGCAACCCATACGACATCTAGCCCACCAAAGAACCAACCGAAGACCGCTATCAAAGACAACAAAGGCAATAGGCGAGATTTCACGCCCTACTTCGACGCCGCAGACCCACGGAACCACACCGACCTAAGAAGTCCAGATAAATACAACTTCCTCGGCACAAAAGACGTGAATCAAAAGCTACGCCAGGACACAACCGATGCGATCAAACTAGCAACAGAGAAGCGAGGAAAGGTGAAGGCAGACCAGGCTTTACCATCGCTACCTGAACATGAGGCCCAGACGCCAGTAAAGAGGAAGAGCGCGCCTCTTCCCCCCATTCTGCCTAGATTCGCTTTCGAGAACCCAACAATAATATCGGCGAAGCAGGCGAAATCTCGAACTGCTTCGGTGAGGAAGGGTGCGGAAACTCCAACCCAATACACCACCCCCCTTTCTGCGATCAACGAAGCGTCGTCTCCGCTCAACAAAGAATCGAACAAGCGACGAAGTGTCGACCGCACACCCACGCTCGACCGCGTCCTCGCTCTCCGCGCAGAAGAACAAGCGAAGGCGCTCGCGAAACTCCAAGGCGATGTGCTAGAAGAACAGGCTGTTGATGACGGCGAAAAACATATCCCCCGCGAGTTGGTCAAGCGGATAAGTGACTCGGAAAGTCGGTGTATTCCTAGAGTCACGTCGCGGGAAGAGAAGAGGCATGCGTCTGAGTTTGTTCCGGGTATGGAGGTGCTGGGAGTGGATGAGCGGGAGGGGGGTTGTGTGATGTATGATAGGGATGTTCGAGCGAAGGAGGAGGAGGAGGATGGTGCTGGTGGTAGTGTGTATAGCAGTGTCGATAACACGCAGGAAGATGAGATCGAGCAGTTGACAAAGGCGATAGCGGGGTTGAAGCCGTTTCAAAATCTACCGCCTCCATCGTCGTCGCCGAAGAAGAAAGCGTTCGAGCGGCAGAGCGCTGTGCCGGTGGGTTTGGACGTGGGGAGAATTGGAAGGGGAAAAGGGAGGTTGGAGGATACAGCTGGATCGAAGCTAGAGCCGGAGGAACTAGGTGGACGAACGCAAGTTGAGGCAGAAGCGGAGCTGCTCCAGGTCCTCAATGCGACGAATGAAGGGACTGGTGGAGGTAGCGCGGGCGTAGGAACGTCGCAGGAGAATTCGTCAGCTGAGTCTTTTGCGACGGTTTCTTCGGACGATTACGAACAAATTCGGGCGGAGGATGAGCTGGCGTCGGAGCAGAATGGCGTGAAGAGGCGGTGGTATAAGGGCTTTCGGAAGGTTTGAGTGTTGACGCGCGGAATAGTAGGGGTATACGAGACGACTATGTTGATTGTTTCATTGAGCTGAAACACGAGCCTGGTATTATACGATGTCTTGTATGTTGTTGAAATGTAGTTACCGAAGCGCGTGCGTACATTCAGAATAAGCTTTTTGTTGCCCAAGCGATGCGCAAAGTGTCCCCGTAGGTGTTACTCAGCAGTCCCAAGTACTGGCTATCCTACGTTTGCGTGACGCTTCGCCCTCGTAGCGCCTTTCTCGGAGGAAGGATTCAAGGTCCATGTGCGCGGGCTCTGAAGCTGAGCTTATTCACTCAGCCCTGCTCCCATCTTTATTTAAGTGTGGCTTGGTGTCCCTGAGATAGTCCTCGTACCCTATGTGCTGTGGTCAGTATAACTTCGAGAATGGGATAGCCATAGATACGTACAATTCCTCATACGCTGCACAGCACTTTCCATATCTGCATCATGTTTGATAGAGGAATCAAGGGCTATAGCTGCAGCGATGTACCGACGTGGCTTTCCCCACGAAGGGCCCTGTGATCCTTCTTTATCGTGGACAGGGTGGACAGGAAGGGGCAGTAGTCCGTACCTAACATACTGAAATGCAGTGATGTACCTGGACAATATCACTCGCGGCATACGTTTCTCAAAAGCGTCTCGATCAAAGTCAAAGATGCTTTTACCGTCAGGTCGAGAAATGATGGCAACGTCCAGCAGATGCATCGCTAGCCTTGATAAGTTATTGCGATACAAGACCATGTCGTAAATTCGGTCGAGAATTTCTTCCGTTGGCACAACTTTATCGTACAAGAATCGCCTTATAGCCCTGTGCCTGTGGATTGCGTGGTCGTGACACCACGGATCCCAACCAGGAAAGCCGTTCATATAAATTTCGCACTCTCGGAAGACTATGCTCGTTTTCATTTTGATGTTCCTGGATTGGTGGAGCGAGGTAGATTTCTCCTGTGCATCGGTTTCTTCGGCGTCGTAGGGCCTGATAGGATACGTAGTAGCCGAAACGGCAGATGCTTGAAGAGTCACATCTGTGCCCACTGCAACGTTCTCATCCGGATTTTGAGAGTCCATGACAGGGTGAGTGGCGATCCAAAATAAAAGAGAAAGAGATATGTCAGTATCGAGAGGCACTTTTTGCACTTTTAGGCCGCTGCCGAAGCCCATACGTTGGTAGCGAAAGTGCGATAAGTGGAGAATACCCAGCTGAACCATGGATGAATGCGTAGTAGAATAATGTACCAAGAAGGTATTCGATGCAGTTTCGTTTGCAATATACACAAAACAATAGACATTGTATAAGAGTGGGAGTAGATTGGCTACTGGATGCAGTTCAAGATGAACCAATGTCTTCGCCGCAGAGACTTAGCTATAGCGTGTCTGACCATGCGAGATGTCGACGACCCAGCTTTTCAAATTTCCGGTTCTCGGTTTGCTAACAGTGGTGTATATCGCACGAAGACTGTGGCGCATTGTAAAGTTTGCGCTGTCTGATCGGACGCAATCCGCGCCCTTCTCGTCTCAGGGCCCTCATGGCTTGCAAGGTCCTCGCTGCAGATTGGGAGTCTACTCCCGGACGCGACCCTGGCGACTAGACATGGTGTTCATGATTGGGGATGTCGTGCGTCCGTTACTCGTGTTCTAGGTGATGGGTTGAGGCGCGCCCGCGAAGGCCGAGGTCAACTCCGCCTGGCCTGTGCTTCTTTCCCCGCAAAGCAGCGCTCCTGGAACAGCAACTCCACGACTGAGAGCAAGCGAGTCATCAAGATGCGCGTCCCGAAGCTTGCCCTTATACCGCGAGCTTCTAGCTTGACGTTCGGAATTGAGAAATATCCAGATCGCTGACACGAGCCCTATTGTCTTCCACGCACCGCACCCATCAAGAGACCCCCACGATGTCGCTGTCGCACACGATGAACTTCTCGATTCCCGATGATCTGAAGCAATACCTGGCCGATCTCGACAAGTTCATCGATGAGGAGATCACCCCGCTCCAACACAAAGACGACAACAACTGCTTCTTCGACCACCGCCGCGAGCACGCTCGAACCGATTGGGACAACGGGGGCCTGCCGCGCAAGGAATGGGAGGAGCTATTGGCAGAGTCAAGGCGACTGGCGGATGAAGCCGGCTTCTACAGACTGTCGCTGCCGAAGCAATACGGCGGTCAGAACAGTGCCGATGGGCGAGGGAGCAACCTTTGGATGTCCGTCATCCGAGAACATCTCGCCGCGAAGGGACTGGGCCTGTTCAACGACCTGCAGACAGAACATTCGATGGTCGGCAACTTCCCCGACGTCATCATGCTCATGAACTTTGGCAACGAGCAGCAGAAGAAGGAGTTCATACCGCTGCGGCTGCAGGGCAAGTTCAGGATGACGTTCGGCTTGACGGAGCCCGGTCATGGCTCGGATGCGACACACATGGCGACAAAGGGGCGGCCGGAGACGAGGGACGGTGTGAAGGGATGGGTGTTGAATGGATACAAGCGGTGGCAGACTGGCATGCATCACGCTACACACTGCTCGGTCTTTGCGAGGACGTCGGGAAAGGATGGCGAGATCAAGGGCATCTCGTGCTTCGTCGTACCGGTAGAGACGCCGGGGCTCAAGGCAGAGTCGTATGAGTGGTACGTCGTTGGCCGCATAGCGCTTCATACTGTCTGTTAACAACGCCCAGGACACTGAATATGCCCACCGACCACGCCACCGTCTCAATCAAAGACGTCTGGGTCCCCGAGACCGCCGCACTAGGCCCCATCCACAACGGCCTCGGCGTCGCCCAAGCCTTCGTCCACGAGAACCGCATCCGCCAAGCCGCCTCCTCGCTCGGCGCCGCCGTCTACTGCGTCCAACAATCCGTCGAATACGCCAACCAACGCGCGCCCTTCGGAACCCCTCTCTCCCACAACCAAGGCATCCAGTTCCCGCTCGTCGAACTCGCCACGCAATGCGAGATGCTGCGACAGCTGATCCGGAAGACGGCGCTGGAGATGGACTCTATGCCACACAACGAGATTGAGAAGAAGATTGGCGATAAGGTGTCCATGTGTAATTACTACGCGAACAGGCTGTGTACGCAGGCGGCGGACCGCGCGATTCAGGTCCATGGCGGGAATGGATATTCGCGACATTATCCGTTTGAGCATATCTGGAGACACCATCGCCGGTATAGGATTACTGAGGGGAGTGAGGAGATTCAGATGCGGAAGGTTGCTGCGTATTTGTTTGGGTTTGGTGGGAGGAAGAGTTTGGTGGATGCTACGAAGGCGGAGTCGAAGTTGTAGACCTTTCTTATGGGGGATGTAGAGACATATTTATTCATAGCAGCGTACGAAGCCACTTGTTGAATCCGGGCATTGCGTCTTTCTCCGTGATTACGGGTAGTAAAACCACGATCAGTAGAAACCATATACAGAAGGCTGCGACCCAGAGCAAAGTCAATCGCAATGTGGAGTCCTTTGGCGGTGCTGGCAGCGGTTTTAATTGCCGCTCTTCCGTGACTGAAGCGACTAACGGTAAAGAAGGTACTGATGGCAGTGGTTTGGTGTGCGCATGTAGGCTCAAAGGTTTGGGTGCTGCGGCACGTTTGATGGAGTTACTGAGGGTCTTTGGTGGCACTGGCGGGCCTTGATCCTGGGTACGTGGTTTTCGGTTTCGTACATGTTGATCGCCACATCGGGTTTCAGACATTGTCGACTTTTTTGAGAGGAGAAACAGTAGAGTACGCGTCTCAGGTACTTAATGCTGATGGTATCCTCCGGTGCTGGACTGGCGAGACGCGCGACGCTACACCAAATGCCGTTAGTCGGTGACGTAGCGGCCCAGCTGGAGAAAGAGCTGCCGACATCATCTCAACTCTCACACTCCGATGATATGCTAAGACAGCATGCATTCGTAGTGAAAAGCGCGTCCCTCAGTTTTACTTTGTCGTTTTCATAATACCTCACTGTATCTCCTTCAACAGACTGCATAAAGCAGCAATGTCAACGAAAAAAAGGTGGGTGTTGGTTCCGCCGTTCGATCGTCAGTAAAGGCCCCAATAAGCCTCTACCTTAGGTCTCGAGACCTTCGTTGTGGTAACCGGGCTCACGTTCCCGCATCTTCGACATCCACTCTAAGAGCCGGTTTCCCGTAAGTACCTGTCACTCAGAAGCTGGACCGGAGTCCATTGCTGGAGACGAGCTCCGCCTGCTTCCTGCCGTGTGAGATGAGCAATCCCGAAGGATACCGTTGCTCACCACCTCCCGGCGAGACCACAAACGGGCAAAGGGTAGACGCGAAGTCGCGCTTCCCTTTGGCGGAGTGTGGAAAAGGTGCATGGATGTCGCCGTTCCGTCGATCGTAGGTAGCACTGCAAAAACCACAGATCGAATTTGAGCGTTGAGGGGCCGACGCATAATGCTCGTCAGCGCAACGACACCTCGTGAGACCAGGGTCGTAAGCGTCCGTCAACGTCTCCACCCCAGTCCTTAACGCTTGTGAGCCAAGGTATCAGGAAGTATTGGACAAGCTGTATGAAAAGAGTGGAAGAAGACTTGTTAGCGAGGACGGCTGGAGCCCGCCTGCGGCTCCAGATAATGTGAACGAGGGGCTCTCGTGAAGATGACGTTACCTTGTCGGACTCTCCGATATTGTTGAGCTCGGGTCGAGCTCTTCTCGACTTCTCCCAGTCCACAGCCGAAGACGGTGTGAGGTGGAGGGTGGTGAGGACAGTAGTTGGAAGACGGTGGGCAGACTCTTATAGACAGAGGAGCTACGGCGCGCAAGGCTGCCGCCTCCGGGCTTGGCCTTCTCCTGTCGTTCCATTGGCTGTCGCGTCTGTTTGCATTCACCTGCGCACAGACCACGCGACTGGCTAGATCCCACCAAGGGATATTCGCCAGGCTCTGAGTCCATTCTTCAACGCGAGCAGTTGTATGGTCAATTCTTTGCGACAATGGCGCCGCGAAAGTCTTCCGCAGATCCCGGAGATGGCGCGACCAAAGGCGCA